TGGAAGGCAATACAAACTTAGTGAGCCAACCATCATGCAACTCATTCAACTTCATCAAAACTACATCACAAGGAATGCATAATTTCACCTGTGAAACTGTGAACAATTATATCAACTGATCAGAAGTCTACATGTACAAATGTAAGCTAAGTTTCATACCCAACTTGTTCTTTATGAACCGACTGCTGTTATTCTAGGTACCGGTACGTGTACTTGTATGTTACGGAACCAGCATCATAAGATATAGACTCATTATAAAGCCCAGCTATCCACTGAAGACATTTCGACACCAACATGAAACTTTTCAGAGGACTTCACTAAGGACCAACCTCAAACATATGTGAAGCAAAATTTGGTGCGGAATGTCTGACGTTGGTTTTTCGGGGGGTCAAGTTATCGTAAAAATAAACAATTTGCTTTTTGCAAGGGCTATATCTCATTCAATGAAGTTAATATAAGTGTAAGATTTTACACGAAAGTAGTTTCAATTGGGGGCTATTACAGGCAAAAAAATTGGTGAAAAAAATATTTTCAATTTTTGACTTACACCCCCCCCCCGAACATTGGTCCAGATGAGTTTTGGGCCATTTGGGGCCCCTCTAACTTAAAAATGAAACAAGCTACTTTCTTTCTGTTTAAATATTTGAAATCTACAGCAAAAAATAGCCCAGATTACCAAGTTTGAAATGTCTGGGGGGTATAGTTTTAAATATATGGCCCTTTAAACATTGAATTTCGTGACGCGACGCGCTTTTGGCCCCGCCCACCTCAAATTTCAAAATGCTGTTGTGCAAGAACGAAAAGTCGTAGAGACCCCAAATTTTCAGAATTTGTATTTCTCCTAAGTATCTTTCAGTACACCAAAAAAGAAAAAAATCCAAGAGGTGATGGTGTGCAACATTTGTTGAGTTGGCATGGAATGACCCAACAAGGTTGCACTTTGTTTTCAGTATCCTTTGTTCTATCGGCCAGATATTTTAATAATAAACAACCCTCCCACTTCAACGGAGGGGTTGTTGAACGGGTGCTCAATTCTATATGCAGCCATCCTCCCGTTATATTTGTTTAACAATTGAGAAAATATAAAAAAAAAAAAAAAAATCATATACACTGTACATCATGCCAAATAACGTCATTTGTTTTAGTATCCCCATTGTGGACGTGACCTAGAAAATAGAAATGTATAAATTTAAACGCGCAACGCGCAATACATACACTGGCGGGGATCAAGAGTGCATGACCCCAATATGTATAATTTTCAGGCTGCGTTCATTCAAGCACGTACTTAATTACGCGCACGCCAGGCGCGCCCTAGGCGTGTATCCTCACGCCAGGGCGAAACTTTTCATTGGCTTAAAGTATTCTATGCCTAATGTGCATACGCGTGACCCTTCTTTTTGCGCGTATTGCGTGACCTCGGTTCTTGACATGCATGCATTTAGCCGCAGTGCGCAATGTTTGTTTACATGCTAGGTGTGCGATACTTAGAAGAAAGAATAATCAAGCCACTGCCGCAATTTGGGGAGCAATAATTTGCAGAGTGTAATGTCTTTACCATGCATGGTATGATGGTAAAAGGTGGTAAAGTGGCGTGCATATCGCATGCATTGCATAAATACAGCTGACTAATATCGATAATAATCCAGCAATTATCACAGGTTGACCGGCCTGCACCATTGCCAATTTGTTCATAAAAATCAAACGCGCTCCTTGCGATTTTTGATTTTAAATTCGAATTACCGGGTATCTGTGGGCTGTAGAGTTGCACAACTGCCGTGGTTAATTATTTTTCTGATTGTAAGTTAACATATTTTATTGCTGCACTGGCAATGTTTTGGCTGCTTTCAATTGTGTATTTATTATTCGAGAAGGGAGCAAGAACAAAGTGATGAGGCCCACACATCTATTTAGTTCCTTCTAACAATGACACACTATAAAGATTGCTTCTGGAGTTTGAGGAAAACTTGGTCGCCTTGACTAGGGGCCGGAAGGGAAGTTTCCATTCCCCCCCCCCCCCACTAATGAGGGTTTTTCGTGGGTTTTTCGCCTTTCCTGGGAGCAGTTACAACTTAAGGAGGGCGGCGACTTTCTTGTTGCCCTTGATAGTGTACTTATAACAGAAAAATTGTCATTTTTTTTCAGAGGCTTGATTTCGATTGAAACTGTTCTCCTAAATGTAATGTGGGATGTTTATTTCTTGGTGGGCCGCTTGCATTTGTTCTAGCTCCTGTGAAAATTCGGATCCCGGACTACCTGTTTATTGTGAACAAATTAATTAACTATCATACAACACAACTGTGTGAAGCTTTGAGTCGCTCTAATTTCCCATTTGGCATCTATATGGCCAAGCTCTTAGCAAGTTCAGCATTGTGACCTAAACTTGTTTTTCTTTGTATTTTATCAATTGCTTCTTTGCCAGTCTAGATTAGGCTGGATATTGCTTTATTGTATTAAAACGATTTAATTTCTTTTTATAAAATTTTAATTTAGTAAATAACTGTTAACTCGCATTCACGTCAGTCTGCCAAGCCAAAAGTTGCATGGGCTACACTGTGCACTGTGTTTTAGTATCCCCACTGTGGACGTGACCTAGAAAATAGAAATGTATAAATTTAAACACGCAACGAGCAATACATACACTGGCGCGCGGGGATCAAGAGTGCATGACCCCAATATGTATAATTTTCAGGCCGCGTTCATTCAAGCACGTACTTAATTACGCGCACGCCAGGCGCGCCCTAGGCGTGTATCCTCACGCCAGGGCGAAACTTTTCATTGGCTTAAAGTATTCTATGCCTAATGTGCATATGCGGAACCTTTCTTTTTGCGCGCATTGCGTGACCTCTTGGAAAAAATGGTCCGGTTAACATTGTTAACTTATTTCTTATGATGGGACTGCGGTTTGGTCGAAGTCAATTCAGCGTGATCGGCTGACTGATAAGGTTTACGTACAAAACCCCAAGCCAAGGAGGTTTTTGTATAGAAAGCTGCCGGACCACATTTTGCGAGAGTGTGTCTGTAATGCTTGAAGCCTGCCGTTAATGCTGAGCCTGCAAACTGCCAAAGTTACCAGTGGCATGCCTACATTTTCTCGTGCAAATAGGTCCCATTTTTGGACCCTAATTTTATCAAATCTGCTCTTAGATAATAGCCCAAAAGCCAGGGAGATGATCCTCGGCTATATTCGCACGATTCCATCGATTTTTAAACTAGACGGTCTCGTTTTTTACCAAAAAATTGTGGGGGCACTTTTCATGCAAATTAACGACTCGGACGCGTAGAAATTTTGAAACCCTAATCAAAATTATTGCGCCCGCTGTTGGTCTTATAGCGCCATTCAGATATATCTTCTGTCTAGCCAACACCCCCCCCCCCCACAGCCTATCCCCCCCCCACCACCACAACACCGCAAAATAATAGTAATTAAATACTGTTAAAAATGTGCTCGTTTATTCAGAAATTCATGAAGCATATTCAAACTGATTGGATGTTTCCAAAGTGTCTTTCCCATTTTGAAAAAGTTCTTTTTAAAAGCCCGTCAACCATTAGAGACACACTCTTGGAAAAAATGGTCCGGTTAACATTGTTAACTTATTTCTTATGATGGGACTGCGGTTTGGCCGAAGTCAATTCAGCGTGATCGGCTAACTGATAAGGTTTACGTACAAAACCCCAAGCCAAGGAGGATTTTGTATAGAAAGCTGCCGGACCACATTTTGCGAGAGTGTGTCTGTAATGTTTGTTTACATGCTAGGTGTGCGATATTTAGAAGAAAGAATAATCAAGCCACTGCCGCAATTTGGGGAGCAATAATTTGCTGAGTGTAATGTCTTTACCATGCATGGTATGATGGTAAAAGGTGGTAAAGTGGCGTGCATATCGCATGCATTGCATGAATACAGCTGACTGATATCGATAATAATCTAGCAATTATCACAGGTTGACCGGCCTGTACCATTGCCAATTTGTTCATAAAAATCAAACGCGCTCCTTGCGATTTTTGATTTTAAATTCGAATTACGGGGTATCTGTGGGCTGTAGAGTTACACAACTGCCGTGGTTAATTATTTTTCTGATTGTAAGTTAACATATTTTATTGCTGCACTGGCAATGTTTTGGCTGCTTTCAATTAATTGTTTATTATTCGAGAAGGGAGCGAGAACAAAGTGATGAGGCCCACACATCTATTTAGTTCCTTCTAACAATGACACACTATAAAGATTGCTTCTGGAGTTTGAGGAAAACTTGGTCGCCTTGACTAGGGGCCGGAAGGGAAGTTTCCCATTCCCCCCCCCCCCCCACTAATGAGGGTTTTTCGTGGGTTTTTCGCCTTTCCTGGGAGCAGTTACAACTTAAGGAGGGTGGCGACTTTCTTGTTGCCCTTGATAGTGTACTTATAACAGAAAAATTGTCATTTTTTTTCAGAGGCTTGATCTCGATTGAAACTGTTCTCTTAAATGTAATGTGGGATGTTTATTTCTTGGTGGGCCGCTTGCATTTGTTCTAGCTCCTGTGAAAATTCGGATCCCGGACTACCTGTTTATTGTGAACAAATTAATTAACTATCATACAACACAACTGTGTGAAGCTGTGAGTCGCGGAAGCGAATACCGAGACAAAAGGCCGGAATAAGCAAGTTCGGTATTTCAATTACCGGTACCCGAGGTTATTCGGGATAAACATCGCTGACGTGATGTTACGCGATGTTACGCGCACGTTATTGACGCACAAGCGTCGTGCACATGCACCTTTGATCCTTCGATTATCCCGAATGACCCGCGACCACATCCCGTGACCCATATCATTGCACATGCGCAGTTGAAATACCAAACTGGCTTATTCAAAGACCGGCAAACTCTGAATTTCAGAAGGTATCTCTGACACATAGTGTAGTCTTCTGGTTGTACGCCGTCATAAACAAGGACACTTTTATAGGAGGAACTTAAACGCTTTTATAATGCCATTTAAAGAAAAACAAACTTTTTCGTCTTTTCTCACAGGAACCTGTTTCATTCCATTCGGGCCAGATGCAGGAGATCAAGTCCTCTCACCAATTGTAAGTCCCTTTGCTTAGTACTTCTCTAACAAATACTATCTGCCTAGTAAGTAAGTAGAGTCATCACGAGCCAATGTGGCCCATCAGGCCGATGTTAATCTCCGGTTTCAGTAGCATGAAACGACTGAGAATATTTCTACAATAACGGGACGGAATGCTATAGTCCTTCGCAGGTTACTCCCCAGCTAATGCGAGTACCCATTTATACTCCTGGGTGGAGAGAGGCAAGTGGGGACGAAGTGGCTTGCCCAAGGACAAAACGTATGGCCTTCAGCTGGATTCGAACCCCTGACCCTCTAATCATGGGTCACGAACCTTAATTACTAGGCCACAGTTCCCTGGGGATAGCACGGAGCACCTGAAGGGAGTTAGGGATAGCACGAAGCGCCTAAAGGGACATTAAAAAAAAAAAAAACATATTAGAAAAATTTCAGTTCATTATTTTGTGTGTTTGTTTTGAACACATCTAATGATATTGAGTTATCCTTTCATGTTTGAAATATTGTTCGACTTTCCCTTTAGGGGCTCCGTAGGATAATATTAATCAAGTGAATACTGTAAAATAACAATTGGTGGTTTAATTGCAATAGAACAAAAGTGCTCCTCAACAGTGAAGGGACTTTGAAATGTTGTGACGACACAAATGTGGCCACGACACACTAGGCAATTTACAGGCTTGTTCTAGGTAATGTCCAAGAAGAAGAAAGTCACATTTTAATTCCATGTAATATTCTCAGAAATGTCCATAAACTGTTGGAAAAAAGAAGAGATTGGTTCTTTTTGAGGGTTCCTTCAGCTTGTGGTCTATTTGGTTGTCTCTGTTACAACTGATAATGTAACAACCAACGGATAATGTATCACCAACCGATACTGTAACAACAATTGACCGATACTGTATCACTGACCGATAAAGCTTGGTTCATACTCGGTGCAAAAGCGAAAGCGAATGCGAATTTGTGACATCATGGCAAGTATTCGCACTGCGAATTCGTAAAAGTTGAACACATTTCAACTTGGGCGAGTTTCGCAGCGAACAATTCTTGACGTCAAATTCGCGTCGCTTTCGCATTCGCATTCGCGCCGAGTATGAGCCAGGTTTAATGTAACAAAAATTGACTGATAGTGTACTACTGTTATAACACTATCAGTCACTTTTTGTTACATTATCGGTAATTAGCATTGATCATGTAACAAACATTGACTGATGGTGTACATTCTACTTTAATACTTTCGGTAAAGTTTTGATACATTATCAGTCAATGATACAGTTTCGGTCAATTTTTGTTACATTACTGGTTGGTGATACGTTATCCGGTGGTTATTACAATGTACATTATCAGTTAAAACAGTCTCCAAGTTTCCGGTGAAATTGGTCTCGTGTGACTTGACCACATTTTACGTGTTTTCGATTATCTTATTTTAGGGTGCAGTCGGAGATCGAGCAAAGGATTTCGTTTCACCGCTGTTTTCCCCGAGAACATATTTCCCATATTGCAACCACCTGTATCAGAATCTCTATGTAAGTACAGTTGATGTTATAATTCACACTGTTAATTGCAAGCAAACAGTCATGAGCTTTCAAACATTCATGTGCCCGTGCTTTCCACGAAGTGGGGCATATTTGGCAAAAACATGTGATCGATTTCTTTGCAGAACTCGGCGCCACTGAGTAGATAAGGGACGCCACATGAATGAATCGCGGCCAAACACAAGACTTATCGAACGAGAACAACAAGTTTAATGAGACATTATAAAAAAAAAAAAAGGTGAAAGCAAGATGGCTGCGTACGTGGGATAAAGTAACAGGACGCATGAGGGCACTATAACCAACTGGCGCAGGGCGCTTTTTTAAGAACCAAATTCGCATCATGTCTTAGCGTCGAGTACAATTAGGCTTGCTTTAAAGTAATAACTGCATTGTGGCACAGATGGTGGTAACCATTATAGACCAATCCAGGCACGCTACCAGTTCTATCACGAAGGCCCCCTTCAATGGCGTAAGCATTGGGTTAGCTTTTGACAATCGGTATATACCGGAATATTAAAAACATGTAGGAATTGTTAAACCAAGTGCAAATCAGATGTGTTACAGACTGGTATATTGGACATATTTCGTGAAAGTTTCATGTATATCCATTGTACCATTTTGGAGAAACGCGCTAGCAAGGAACACACGCTAGTCTGACCACGGTTCCATGGTTCAACAAATTTATTGAAATTGCGTACTGATGTGAATCAGTGTGATGACAAATAAAACCCGAGTCATGGTGACTGACTCATTGACGTTATTGACACATTTAAACAAGGGCAAAACCAATTCCGTGTGCGGACTGGAAAATGAGCTGCTTCAATGAAAATGGCATACCTCCTCAACAAAGCCACTTATTTGAAAACAATTCAAAATTCCTGTAAAAGACAAGGTAATAACCATTCATATGAAACACTCAGGTTTTTCTCAATTTACTCTACTTGCCACCAAAAAATGGTGAACTTGGGTACAAATCATTCTGACTCACCCTGTATGTATACGGTAGGCCCTTTATTATTTCCCCGTGTCACTGATTAAATGACTGATTAATTGATTGATTGATTGATTTCTGTCATCTAGTTCAGCGACAATGGAGTTATTATCTTACTGGACAGCGGATCATATGAAGGCTATGCTTACCCCAGCACAGACAGTTCAACATTCGATTCCCTAGACAACACTGCCATTGTTGCACCGTTCTGGGCAGATGTGAAAGGTAGTCTCCTGACTAGTTTGGAAAGTAATGTCTTCTATCAGGTGAGTATTTCGTAACGTATTAATTAACGTCTTCTCTCGGGCTAGTAATAAGTAACACAATGAGTAACTATCTGTTACTATCTATACAGGGTGACCCACAAAAATGCAACCCTGAAACATTTTGATTTTTATGTTTTGGATGTCAGATTAAAGCAGAGAGTTTTTTTCTTTCAAGTATCAAAAAAGTCATGAAAACAGCATATTGGGTTGCTGAGAGAAAGCAATTACATGTATGTAAAGGAAGTAATTATTTCATCCTTTCTAATAGTGTTTTAAACAGAGAAAAATTGTACTGTAAGCCCACTGTGCAACTGTCTTTTTTTGTGCAATATCTTTTATATTTTGACATATTTGTGATGCTAAAAAGGTTTAAAATAGAACTAAAAAGGATAAGATACCTGGTCAGGTGGAAAATAAACGTATTCCACCAAAAATCTAATTTGTATTCTTGTTATATTAGGTGCCATGTTGTTTGTAAGGATTAGGACACATTGCGCCACATGCATTTCATGCACAAATAGGTACAGTATAAATCCCTTAATTGTGGTAAGGCCATTGGAATGGACCAAAGATGAGTTGTTTTACAGAGATGTTTTTTTCTCAGCAACCTAATGTGCTGTTTTCATGATTATTTTAGTATTTCAAGGAAAACAAACTCTCAGCTTTAATCTGATATCCTAGACATAAACATTTACAGATCACGTTTTTGAAGAAAAAAAAGGCGGCTGTTTCAGGTTTACATTTGCTTGGGTCGGCCTGTATAGCAACGTCTGTAGTTAACACTTCTGCTAGATTAGTAAATAATAACTTTTAGATGGTAAGTATTTAGTATCTTCTTTGTAGTATTTAGCTTAGTCTTTAGTTGCGTTATTAGATCAATTATATCAATAAGTAGCCTATCAAAAGTATTGATTCTGTTATGTGTCCTATCCAGTAAATGTATAGAGTAACTTTCTGTCAACTGGATTTAAGTAGTCTCTTCATTAACATCTTCTATCATAAAAATATGAAGTAACGTCTTTAACGTCGTGTTTATCAGGAAAGAATAAGGTGACGTTTGTAGTAACATGTTCTCTCCATCCATATTTCGTCATCAATCAATTGAAGAAGGTTAATTCAGTTACGTCTTCTGCCAGTATAACGTTCCTAAGGAATATCTAATACCAAAATAATACTTAATTATGTCTTTTGTCACGTTAGTATCCGTAAGTTTAGTATTAGTAGTAAGTAGTAACTGGTAAAATCTTCTATCAGGTTCATATTTTTAACTGAAATATTAATCCAATTTTGAATGTCTTTAGGACTGTCTTAGCAACGACTTCTCTCATGTACCTTAAGGGCATTTAAGCCAATTACTAACTAACAATGTCTTTCCTTGTTTCGGAAGTGCAATGTACATTGGTGATTTGAACTTTACCACCCCAAGCAAATATATTTGATCCTGTTTTTCTGATCCTGTTTTTCTGATATTTGATTCTGTTTTTCTGCCAGGTGTATGACTCCTCTAACTCCAACGCTGATCAAGGTAGAATGATGGATTTGGTGAGCGCAAGGGTGAACGCAGATCCTGCGCACAGCTACTTCACGGCAAATTGGATGTTGGTGATCACATGGTATAAAGTGCCAGCTATTTCACCCAATCCGGTAGGTTTTTGGCTTCAACCATGCCATTAATGTCTAATTTCTGTAGAGCCGGCTTTCTATTTGTTAGAATACTGTCCTTAACGAAAATGACCGATTTAGCGTAAGTGTACACGAGCGTCACTTCGTGAAAACGAAAATCGCTCCGTTCTGTAAGGTACGCGCGCGTAGCGAGCACTCAAGTCCACTTGGGTGTTATTACTTCGTGGTGTCACTGACGATATGTATACAGTGTATACATTGTTTATACTTTAACGTTTTCTTTTGTAGGCGACAAACACTTTCCAAGCTGTGCTGGCTACCGATGGGGTGCATAGTTTCGTCCTCTTCAGCTACGCTAACATGAACTGGGACGCCACTTTGCTTGGCAACGACAAGGTTATTTCGGGTTTCACGTGTGGCGGTGGGGGCCAGAAAACTTACATCGATGTCCCCTTCTCCATGCATTACCGACCCGACCAAGTTACGGGAAACACCGGAAAGCTTGGCTGCTGGATCTTCCAGATGGACAACAATCCATCGGACTTTGTCAACCCGCGCCAGTTTTGCTACGACTGGCACAGCCGCCAAGATTCAAGCACACTTGTCAATCTGATAAATCGTAGACAATGGCAGCACAACATATGTCCCTGTTCTGCAATCTGGTTGCGATTCGATAGAAGATTTATCTTTATATTACCCTCCGTTGTTCTACCTTCATCTTCAACTCCACGTGTCGGTAAGACAAAGTTAAAGCATAAAGAGGTGTAAAAATAAGTTCACTGATTTAACCCTAAAGGGGCCGGGGGGGGGGGGGGGGGGGGGCGGAATCCGCCCCCCCCCCCTCAACATTTTCCGTGATAGCCTCTAAAAAATTTTTTTCGCGATCCGAGCTGTTATGACTTTTTAGCTTTGACTTTGCGCATCTTTTGATACAAAAAACATAAAAATCGGACCAAGGGTTGCCGCGTAGCGAAAATTTTTCCGGCGAAAACTGAATTTTCGCATATACGTCGTGTACACAGAGCAGAATTGCCATTCGTACATATGAATAATTAATTAATTCCAAAACCCTTTGACCTATAGTCATGAAATTTCTTGGGTATGTTTAGGAAGAGTTGCTCTATGCATGTGCCGAGTTTCAAAATTTTTCGTCACTCGATGGCCGAGATCTTAGGGGGGGGGCGGATCCGCCCCCCCCCCCCCCCCCCCCCCCCCCCCAGCTGAGAGATGGTCAAAATAACCCGGCCCCTTTAGGGTTAGAAAATTGCCCAGTTTGCAAGTTTTTCTCCTTTTTTCATGCTGAATTGATTTCGATTTTACAAGCAAAAAAAGGGTATTACGTTGTTGATGTATGTGGTCATTTATTTTGATTGCGTTTGTTACTGGGCCATTCTATAAATTTGGTAACACCTGACCTGTGTATAATTTGACATGGAAATCTAATTGAAATTGACTACAAACTATTTTTTCATTCAATTTGTTTAGCAGGTACTTTGCATTACATAATCACTTCTTGGAGGTCGAAGGCGTTAAAGAATGAGTCATGTACATGGACCATATTTCGTCGCGTCAGTGCAACAAGGTCGTATCTCCTAAAATGGCATGAACGACGCAAAACGCGAGTTTTAGAATGTCAAAAGGTCGTATCTCGCTTAAAATAACCCGGATGTACACGCAAAGTCAATGGACGTCGAGATACGACCTTGTTGCACGGAACGTATTTGAGCGAGATACAACTTTGTTGCAGAATGGAGATATGAACGCAAAATGCAAGTTTTAGAATGTCAAAAGGTCGTATCTCGCTTAAAATAACCCGGATGTACACGAAAAGTCAATAGACGTCGAGATACGACCTTTTTGCACGGAGCGTATTCGCGTAAGATAGGACTTTGTTGCAGAATGGAGTTACGACCTTGTTGCACTGACATGACGATTTATAGTATGACCTCATTGCGTCGCTGTTTTGCACATAAGGATTCTTCTGAATAATAAGGAACCCTGTATGCAAAATGACATTGTTTTCCTTTCAACATCCGGACAGCCAACCAGTTCTGTGTAATGTCAATAATACAATTCCCTGGCTCTCCTGGAGTGAAGTGTTGCTACAATGGATTTGGATTTCTATCTGATGAAGTTGGTGCATTGGAGGCCAGCCGTATGGAAGTGAGCCCGTACAACCCATGGTGGTTCAACAATGACTTATACCAACAAAATTTTGGTGAGTTGATTTTTCTGTTGGTTGAGTTCCTTTAATTTGCCCTTTGGATTGCATGCTAGTTAACCAGTGTTTAATTTTGTTCACTACCCCACACTGAAGTTGTATTCTCTGTCTATTTTTGGAGTTCTATCCCCCCCCAAAAAAAACAATACAACTACATGTATATTCCTTTCCAGATTGCTATTTTTTTTAGAATAATGTTTTTCGTTGTGTATAGTTTGAATCCTACACGAAGATTAGAAAGGTTGGCAATTCAGAACACGTGTCATGTATAATTTCAATGGCCATCTCAAATTCAGCCTTGAATGAGACTAGTCATTCTTGCCTTAATGCTTGACCATCAAATGGTCTGGAATTTCATTTCCACAAATACAACAAAAAAAACAGTGCAAATATACGACTCAGCTCCTGGCATGTTTCACGGCTTAATGTCTTCAATGATCGGAAAAAAACAAGATAAATGAAAAAAAAAATATATTAAATCTGCTGTTACATTCAATCCATTCCGAAGACCTACTGTGGGCGTAGAGTGATAAAACATCGGCACTACTGAGTAGGCCTAAAAAGCAGGGGGCGTAGGCCTGATTTTTTCAGGAGTAAGGTTGACAGATCTTTTTTTCATGGGCTCTCTGCAAGCATAGGCCTAGAGTGCTCATGGTATGCATCAGTAACCAGCAAAACCAAAAGCCTGTATTGAAATGTACATTCCCAAACTGAAAAACCCGATTCAACATCAGAGCAAGTCCATCAGGCGTGTTTCCCATGGGCGTCGTCGGGATGTTTTTCTAGAGGGGGCAAAGCACATTTCCCCCGCAAAATCATTGTATTTTATCTAGCATATTGTCAATTTATCAAATTTTTTCTAAGGGTGGGCAGAGGTGGGGGGGGGGATTTGCCCACCCCACCCCCATTGAAAACCCTGCGGCACCCAGGTTGTTAAATGTGCATTAAATTTACAGTAATACAACTTTTTTTGGAGGGGAGTGCTTTTCCGGGGGGGGGGGGGGGGGGGGGCTAATGCCCCTCCCTCACGACGCCCATGCGTGTTTGTAAGTGTCTTAGGGCTCATTAAATTGTATCAGGGAAGGACGACACCTAATGTCAACATCCTTGATGTTGGCAATTCTTTGAACTATTTACAGTGGAAGATATCCTGCCTCGTTTCTACTGTTGCGAGGAGAGCGACCTCTGTCATCTTTACCAAGACCAGCGCCCAAGCGCACTGTGTTACATTCGAAGACCTGTGAGAGTAGGTATGTTTATTGGCTCATATTGAGAGAAAGACATGAATTTATCGTTTACAGCAATTGCATAACAGTTTAAAGCTCACTACTTGTGGTGGAAGAATAGTATTGAAGAGAGTTATGCATTACAAACCCAATGTAAACTGTATTAGGTGTCATTAAGGGAATAAACCGGTCCACTAAGCCCCACCCCAAGAGGTTTTCACCAATCACAGCCATGATTGACGCCCGACATGCGTGCACTAGTGTCCAACATGCGTGCACTTAGACTGTTCCCCGGCCTCCCTAAAAAAAATAAGCATGATTGTTTATTTTGAATCACTATTCAATTCAATTCAATTCAAGACGACGTTTATTTCATAACTCCTTTAGAGAAAAACATCAATAGCAACATAATATATTCGATAAATATGTCACAAAAAAATGTAATAAAAGTAAAATACGCTATGAAAAAAAGATAAACTGACTATTCAGCTTTGTGAATGGATGATAATTTAACACAATCATGGCTATGAAAAAAATGACTCTTGTCTTTCTACAAAAAGTACGCAAAATCACCTTTGTCTCCATTAAGGCAACTTTCAAGCATTTTGTTGCATACGTGTAGGTTCCAAATACGGAATTGTTCTTTTATTGATACTTACATGAGACACTTTTGACTTCAGTAAAACAAAATCGAAGCTCATCAAGTCTGAAATTGCACGTTCATGGCCTATTGCCATTCTGCAATAGGCTGGTTGCGTGTAAACATCGTTGTGATTTTGAATTCAGGAGGCCGGATTCAGACCTTTGCACGTCCTACATAATCCTCCAAATGTACGCATGATTCACTGCAAGCTACATGTACCTGTCCCATATTATTTGAAATTCCCAACAGGATACCAGACTAGCGTGCCCTTGCGATGAAACCCGAGAGGTGCACGTGTTTTTGCCCACGCGCAGTGCAGTGGGCAGGTCCAATGGATAGGTCTATAACGTAGCCATGTTGTTTCGTGATATACACGATTGAACGTCAGCTTAGACAAGACAGATACTTCATGATGTATTCCCTTCTTTTTGCCAGGTTGGTTTTGGGGTGATCCCCATATTACCACATTGGATGGTGTCGAGTACACATTCAATGGTCTAGGGGAGTTCATGCTCGTTGAAATTGAGGAGACCGGATTAACGTTTGAACTGCAGGCAAGAACGAAACGAGTCACGGACGCCGAGACTCAAGAACTGACTGATGCTACATACTTCACGGCCTTTTCTGCAAGACACGGCAGCAACAATCGGGTGAGGTTTAACAATAGTCTGTATAGCTTCTGTTTAACGATTTTTCTCTCCAAGTATGCTGTTATATCTAACATGTTTCATTTAACAGATTGAAGTCAAACTCAATGACGACGCTACTGACCTTGTAACAACTGTGAATGGAAACGTTGTTGCACTCACAAGCATTGGTAAGCCTTTCAATTAGCCACTCCCCCTAATAGATCATCTGCATGACATACATTAATTTTATGAGTACAGTGCTTATCATGTTAACATGTATATATCCATACCCCACACCTTTCAGGGTGACAATGACACTTCTCCGAGTCCAAATCACACCTACGGAGATCATTTTCTGTTTCGCTTATTGGACCCGGACCAGTGTTCTAGCCAGGGGGAAATTATAGCGTAGGGGTAATTTTGGTTCGGCGACTAATGCGAGCGCGAAGCCCTTACGGTGTTGGGTCCGGGGCCCGCTTAAGGGCCCAGTAAAATTTTGGACTCTAGATGCCCTGTGGTGCATTTTGAGGCGATTCCCTGCCACTTTCCCCTGATTTTTTTTTAGCAGAAGTGTTTAAAATTATAAGAAATTTTGTTTTATTTGTTTCAATGATTAATACTCTTGCTCCTGTAAAGTTTCTTTTGTTTTCAAATTTTAGATTACGTTTACAATGTATAAGTTGTTCCAAGATTGATGCTTTCTGATGTTTAACCATTTTTAGTAGTTCCTCAATGTTTTATAAAAAATTGGGATTTACTTTGTCAATATTAAGTGTGAGAACAAATCGCATGAACATTTCATATTTCAAGAAGCCTTGTGTTGTGTTACGTAGCGCTGTTAAATTTGTAAATAAAACCATCCGATCGGCAGGGAGAGAAATTGTAAAATTGTGATTGCAATTTCAATATGCTACAACACAATGTGAAGGAGAAATCTCATTTTTGTTATGTTAAAAAATATAATTGTAGATAATGACGATGAGAAATAATCACCGGGAATTGCTTCCTATCCCGGCCGGCCCGGCGTGCGGGCGCGGCGCGGGCCAGCCCACACCGGCTACACCGGCGAACTACGCGACCAAATTTCCCTCAGCATTTGAGAAAGCTACGCATTCGTGGAGCACTAAAAAACTTGCTTTGTTGCAATACTTGCTGATTGGTTTTGTCCTAAGAACAAACAGATCCGTTTTTACCACCAAACTTATTGAACTGTTATTATCAGCAACGAGTAGTGTAGTCAAAAATCCAAATTTTCGACAGCGACATTCTTCAAGAAGAATTCTTCACGTGCGGCCATCTTTGGGGACGGATCCATTGATATCGTAGGGGTGCTTAACCTTTCTTTGGACATCGTTTCTCAAATAAATCCTTTACGAAAAGGATTATGTTTCGGACTTGATAAAAAGTATTATTTATAATTTTAAAACAGTTGAAATGCTTGTAAATATTGACCTTAGGAAAGCACACCCAATAGCGCAAAATGGTGTGGTCCACAGAGCGCTTTGTACGTGACATGTTGGTGACACGTACTGTACGTCCGTACGGAGCGCTGTATCTACGCAGCACAAAACAGCACGTGCTTATTGCTATAGCGAATGCGTGTGGCGCAGCATCACGGTAGGGGTATCGTACGGGGTACGTGCGGTGGGATCGTTGTTTATTTTTTGCTGTGTCGTACGGCCAGTGCGCAATGCTCAAAGTCGCTGCGCTTGTATACGAACAAACGGCAGATTTTTTTTTTTCGCAACCAAAATTTATAGCGTAGCGGTAGCGTAGCAGCGCGCTTTAAGCGTAGCGCTTATTTCCGAAAGCGTAGTGGGTGCTAGCGCTATTTGATGCCTGGCTAGAACACTGACCCGGACACCTTGGCAAAAGTGTCATTTTTAGCCTGAACAGCATCAGGTCAGATCCTACCCGGATTCCGGGTCGGGTCTTACTCGGATTCTGAGTCAGATTTCATCCCAATTCCAAGTCAGATTTGACTCGGATTCTGAGTAAGATTTGATTCAGATTCCGAGTCATATTTTGACCAGGATTCTAAGTCAGATTTTACCCGGATTCCGAGTCAGATTTGACCCGGATTCCAAGTCAGATTTGACCCGGATACCGAGTCAGATTCGATTGGGATTCTGAGTCAGATCTGACTCGGATTCCAGGTCAAATCTGACCCAGGACTTAAGAGTGTAATTTTGTCACTCCTAAGGCATGATCTACAGAAAAATCAACAAATCTAAGCATACCTGTTTTTCCTTTCTGAAGCGTCAGAATTTGAAGACTTGACCGTACTCCGGGAAGCCACATCCCCATTCAGGATACATGCAGACTGGACTTCGGATATCCAGTTACTTTTCCGAGTTGCCAATGGCATAGCTGATGTTGAAGTTGTGCTTCCCAATACTCTAAAGGGCAAGATCAAAGGACTTTTGGGTAAGTAGGATACTTAACCAAGCAAAATCAGTAAGTTAATTGTGATCGTTAAGGTCTTTTTTCCATTGTACGTATGAAAGACACCATTTAGTGCAACAAAATGCCCCGAAACCACCCCGCCCAAAAAAGCAACAGGAGCAGCAGGAGCAGCAGCAATAGTAACAGCAGTAGCAACAGCAGCAGCAAAAGCAGCAGCATAAACAGCAGAAGCAGCAACAGAAGCAGCAGCAGCAGAGGAAGCAGCAGCAGCAGCAGCAGAAGCAGCAGTAGCAACATCAGCAGCAGCAGCAGCAGCAGCAGCAGAAGCAGCAACAGCAGCAGCAGCAGCAGAAGCAGCAGCAGAAGCAGCAATAGAAGCAGCAGCAAGCTTTGTGAAGTCTTCAACAAACTTGTCCTAATTTTGGTCTTTGTTGAATGAGCGACACACTTAACACTGACCACACCAACTATACAGGTCGTAGGTCAACTTGCTCAATATTCTATAGCTACTCACAAACTAAATGGCAGTGAACTAGTTTGATGCCACAGAGTGCAGTTTTTGTAGTAGTCATTGGTATCATAAGCATTATTTTATCGTGAGTGTTAAGTAGCTACGTTACTTTTCAACAGGTCAATGGGACGACGATCCTAGTAACGAGGCCCTACGGCGAGATGGGAACGTCCAACAACCCACAGGACCAAATAACAAAATGCTGGAAAGAGATTACTTTGAGTTTGGCACGACCTGTGAGTTCCTTCAGAATGTTCCACTTTTTTTTAACGAAACGTTCAAAGTGAAGAATTTGTGATAAAAAAATCGGTTGGAGCAGCCAATACTTTTGCCTTAACATTTATAAAAACACGGGTTTCAAAGATGGGGATAACTTGGAGATGGAGATTTCATCCTGAACACAAACTAATTACCACAGTAAGGGATTTTCACTGTACCTATTTGTTCATGTCCTAATCCTTAAAAACAATATGGCACATAATATGACAAGTGTAAAATTGAATTTGAATTAAATACCTTTTATCTTATTCATCCTTTTTTAGTCCTATTCAGCATCATAAATATGTCAAAATATTAAAGAAATTGCACAAATGAAGGATAATTGCACAGTAGGCTTGCAGCAAAATGTTTCACTGTTTGACGTACATGTTTGTACATGTGAACTTGTGTACAGGATGTAAAGTGACTACTTTACATCATTGGCATTTTCTCAGCAACCCAAAGAGCAATTTTCGTGATTTGTTTAGTATTTGAAAGAAACAGCTCTCATCTTTAATCTAATACCCAAAACATTACAATCCACCGATCCCTTTTTTAAAAAGGCAAATGTTTTAGGGTTGCATTTTTGGGGCACCCTGTACAATAGCACGTACTGCCTGGTTTTCCTCACTGGCCAACAACACTTGTGACTATAAGTCACAAGTGTCAGTCAGTCGGTCGGTCGGTACAGAGTACAGAGTCTGAGAAACCATAACCTGGCCTTCGGGGACCAGCAAAAACGATCAATTACTATCTCTGTCTAATTCTTCTATTCCTGTCTCTTGTCTGACAGGGAGAACGACCCCTGAAACGTCTTTGTTCTACTACGTCAACAACAACGACTGGAACACCTGCAACAACCTAGACTTTGTGCCCAAGTTTCTGGAGGACCTTATAGCTGAGGCAACGCCACAGGATCTGGCAGCAGCACGGGAACAGTGCGGCAACAACACCATGTGTCTCTACGATCGCTTGGCATCTCACGATGAATCTATTAGTGCGGCTACACTGATGCAGACTATTGTGAACGAAGAAACCAATCTCATTATCTGTAAGTTAACCAGCACCCGATTTCACGAAGCCCTGCAACGCGTCGCAACTCGAGTTACGACGTGTAACACGTCGCAACTCGCGATGCGTCGTATCTTCCATTTCACGAAAGTTGCGATGTGTTGAACGCGTCGTGAGTTCCTTGACAACAGCTTAAAACATGTCGCAAGTTACGACGTGTCTAGTGGTCACTAGACACGTCATTTCATTTCTAAAGCCAGTTTTATGCCATAAACATTACATTAACAAGATTATAATACTGAGGCAATGTATGTAAAGTTGTAAAATATTCATTGAATAATTATGAATTAGACCGGAATATTAGAGTTGAAATTTCAAAGTAGCTATACAGTCCAATGAGAGATTGTTTTCCTTCAAAATTGCATCGCACGGCTGCCATTTTGTTTTACGTTTTATCAAATTGCAAGCTGAGATCCGACGACTCTTTGTTAAATATTAAACGACAATTTACTGTACACTGACTAAATACATAAAACAGTCACCGAGATGTGCTATAAATACACCCACGACGCGTCGCACTTACGACGTGTTTTGTGAAATGATCGAAGGACGCATCGCAGCTGCGACGCATCGTAGAGATACGACGCGTCGCATCGCTGCGATGCATCGTAAGTTACGAAGAGTTTGATGAAATCGGGTGCAGAAGTCACAATCTTGCTCAACTGGCAGGTTTGTGTAACTGTAGTATCCTTACATGATAGCTATATGTATAGGCACCATGTGCATTACCTTGATCCACATTGGAATGCACAAACCCCAACTTACTAAATGAATAAGGCCCCAACTTGGGTAATATTACACCCTAGAACTACATGTATGTAGCCCTTGATAAGCACAGAACCCTCATGTGATATACTGAGATGTACTGAGACACAATAAACCAAGCAAGCATCGAAGCAATATTCATGTGCTAGTGACAAGCTCACTACATTACAGTAACATCAAAATCTAAGAGAGTAATGTTGATCCAAATGTCAATATCCAGGACTTGAAATGTTTACGAAAGTACATGTAACACCAGTAACACAAGCTGCAACAGATTATATAACAGCCCACACATATTTTATTGCAATTTTGAGATCTTTACTAGCATGGGACAAGTAACTTGAAACATGGTTTGATATTGATGAGTTGTCCCTTTTGGTGCATCTTTGCAGCAAATACGCCACCAAACATCACAACTTCCGTAGAGTCGGTGAACGTCATCGTTGGAGAAAACTTCACCCTCGAGGTAACTGCTACAGACGCTGACGGCCAGGAAATCATATACAACTTACTGGAAGACATTTCAGGAGCATCGATATCCCAGGGTGTGTGCACTTTATGAATGAACACTAGTCCCTGAGGTTTCCCTGATATCTACCTGAGAGATACTTCCAAAAGCTCGGACACGAGAAGTAATTTCACTTTAAGGAGAAGGCTGGGAGGTGCAGAGGTGGTGTATTAAACACATCCAACTGTTAATGTCTGGAGAGGTGTGTAATATTCATCCTCCACGAACACCAACAAGCCACCATAGCCAGTCAGTCAATGGACACAACTTGGACACACGGCACAAGACGCACACACGCCAAACTGGCGAAAACCTTTCCCTTCAGGGTCACTGTAAAATTCCCTGAGTTAATTTTCCCTGATTTTAGACTTTGTATTACCGAATTTCCTTTGTTTTCCAATAACTGGAAAAATGAAAACAAATTGTCAAGGTTTTCCCTGATTTCCAGAGAGGCTTGGAACCCTTTCTACCGCGGTCTAATTGCCTTCTACCAAATTGCCACCAAGTCTATTTCTGAAATTCGTGGACCTTATTTAAGCAATAAACTCAAATCAGATAAAACAGAAAAGTAAAGGTGCATTGAATGGAAGCCTTGAAATGACAAAAGCATTCTACGTATATGTTTTCAAGTTTCAAATTGAAAAAAAAAAGGCTTTGTAACTAAATTTGAAAACTATTCCGTATCTTAATTACCCAATTAGAGTAATGTTTTTATTGTCTTGGGTTTATGTTAATAGATGGTGTTTTCAAATGGAATCCGTTGGACAAGACAAAAGTTAAGCTTGGAATTGTAGCATCTGATGGGACGTTCAACACCTCAGTGCAACCTATCGTCAAGTTGTGTGACTGTCAGAATGGTGGCTCGTGCCTCTTTGACCAGTACACGTTGGATAGTAATATAGCCCTGGATAGTTTTGCAGTAAGATTTTGATTATTATTATAATTATTATTAGTTTAATTTTTTTTTTACAAAGGTTTGGTATTCGTCCCCGCGTTCAAGTGGCTTAAAAAGGATCAGTTATGTATGTGTTTCATCACACAGAGGTTTTACAGAACGCAGTGGTCTAATGATTATGGCATTCGACTCATGAGCAGTGGTACGTTGGTTCGAATCCCGATTGGGAACATGGTGTTTGTGTTCTTTGGCAAGACACTTTACTGCAATTGCCCCTCTCCATCCAGGATTATAAATGAGTACCTGTGCAGGTAGAAACCAGAATGCGCTTATCTCGAGCTGCCTGCAAAAACTGGTCTCGTGGCCTTATGAACAGGGGTAATAATTGCGAAGTGCTTTTTGACCTTGGGTATAAAGCGCTATATAAGCACCACACTATTATTATAAAATCGTTGCCTCAGATTGTGTCAGATATTTTAGCAATTTACCAATTTACCAATTGGTTGTTGAGAGTGTTCTTTGGACTATGGGCCATTCTATAGATTCCGACATCTATGATTCTATAATTCTGATGCTCCAAGAGTAAGGAATTGCAAACTATCTACCATACAAATTTTAAAAAAGTTCAAAAGTTTTAATTATACCGGTAATTGAATGGCAAATTACAAAGAACCAAGGCAACAGGGACAGGGGAAAAATCACACTTTGGACCCTAAATTTATATAATGATCCACAACGTTCCAATATCACTATCAATATCAACTGCAACAGTTTTACTATTGAATTTTATTTACATGTATCAAAATGACATTGTGGTTTCTTCATCAAAAAATGACTTGGTTTTGCTTTAGATTGTATTATGCGAGTGCCCGGAGGGATGGTCTGGGGACTTCTGCCAGGATAACTACGATGCTTGTGCTGACAAGCCGTGTTTCGTAGGCGTCACGTGTATCGACGATGAACCCCCATCTCTCAACAACACCTGTGGTCCGTGCCCCGAGGGTTTTTTCGGGGATGGCAACTTTTGCGAGGGTACGACAAAATAACATTGAACATTCCACTAATAATGTCACATCACACTGGTACAGGCCTTGTGTCATAGCTTGGCACGTCGGAACATCAGAGTTGTAATAACTCGAGTCTATGACTCGACTCGAGTCACAATTTTTGTTGACTCGACTCGACTCAACTTGAGCGAAGGCTACTAAGGCTCGAGTCCCAAAAATAAAATACTGGGAACTTTTAATAAACTCTATCAATACCAGTTTAGCGATTATCATAGTCTATTCTTATTTTTGCTGCACTTCCTATTTTAGATGTCAATGAGTGTGAAATTTACACTCCTTCGAGTGAGGGTGGAATGGGATGTGATCAAGGTTGCGTCAACATCTTAAATGGATTCACCTGTAGCTGCACGGACGGGTACCTGCTGCACGTCGATGGCAGAAGGTGTATCGGTAGGTTGCTTTATTCTGGGCTTCTTTTACAATGAAATGTTGTGGCTGACATCTTGGGGAACCCCAACCTCGTCCCCAGGGTGTTGAGCAGTACGCGCCCAGCACTACCTGCTCTCTCACCCTGGTATTGGATCATTTGCATGTGCAAGATTTTTGAACACGTATGCAAATGAGGAATAGTCTGGTGCCTGCATGTGGGTTACGTTAGCGTTTGGTTTTTGTATGCGGTGTCTGGGGTAAAAACAGAGTCAATTAATTCGCGCGAGCATGGCGTGAGTTACGGAAACACGATTTATTTAATTAACCAAAACATTGTGATCTTATCGAGACAACATGCAGTATCACATTTCATATTAACATGAACAAATTGGAAAGGAAATGAGTATTTTCGAGAAGGCGTGGACGAATGATCGCGAAAACACGTACTGCACGCTGTGAATAACAACACCAAGAACACGATAAAAATGCATTACTAGCCAATTGCGGTATCGAATCAGGATACAGGATGAAAGTTTCTTATCCAGGGCTTAGTTATTGGAAACAAGGTTGGAAATGAATTAAGCATCGAGGTTGGGGAAACCTTGTATTCAACCCTGCACTTGTAACCTGTAGTTCGTGTCACGCACGCGCAGCTCATATTTATTACAACACCAATTACTGATGAGCGAAAAAAACTATGTATGCTTTTTCACCCTTTATGTTGCACATTTTCAACGTCGTGGTCCACTACTGATCAAAAAAGATTATCGATTATTCTTCTTCTCATTTTTATGCCCCCGCGGCGAAGGGGCATACTGTTTCCGCCTTGTCCTTCCGTGGGTGGGTGGGTGGGTGGGTGGGTGGGTGGGTGTGTGGGTGTGGGTGTTCCTGTATTGTATTACGCTCGAGGACAGACAACAAAAGGAGCACAAAGGGGCCATTCATCCTCGAACAACGGTGTCTATTGTCCTCGAACGCCGGTTTGTGCACTAAGTCTATGGGAAAGGTTTAGATCAGGGAACAAAGGAAAACACGAAGCCAATCCTCGGAAGCATAGCAAACAAGTCAGGTGTGTTTACAAACACAAATGCCCCGCAACCGTGACTGTTCCCATGACATAACACCACTCTTTTAACATCAACTTACATGTACCTTGGTCACATGGAATGTTCATTGACAGCATTAGTGTCTTCTGTAGGTTTTATATGAATTAATCCCTAATCCCTATGATCTTAGAGTAAATACAAGATTTTGATTGTTTTAGCCACTGTGACCTTGACCCTTGACCTTTTGGCCCCAAATGCAAAAGGCTTCTTAGGATTACCAAGGACAATCCACAAACCAAATTTGAAGTTCATATGTAAAGTATTTCTCAAGTTATCGCGCTGACAAAATTTCTATTGTTTCAGCCACTGTGACCTTGACCCTTGACCTTTCGGCCCCAAATGCAATAGGCTTCTTAGGATTACCAAGAACAATACACAAACCAAATTTGAAATTCATATGTAAAGTATTTCTCAAGTTATCGCGCTGACAAAATTTCTATTGTTTCAGCCACTGTGACCTTGACCCTTGACCTTTCGGCCCCAAATGCAATAGGCTTCTTAGGATTACCAAGAACAATCCACAAACCAAATTTGAAATTCATATGTAAAGTATATCTCAAGTTATCACGCTGACAACATTTCTTTTGTTTTAGCCACTGTGACCTTGACCCTTGATCTTTCGGCCCCAAATGCAAAAGGCTTCTCAGGATTGCCAAGGACAATCCACAAACCAAATTTGAAGTTCATATGTAAAGTATTTCTCAAATTATCGCGCTGACAAGATTTCTATTGTTTCAGCCACTGTGACCTTGACCCTTGACCTTTCGGCCCCAAATGCAATAGGCCTCTTAGGATTACCAAGAACAATACACAGACCAAATTTGAAGTTCATATGTTAAGTATTTCTCAAGTTATCGTGCTGACAAGATTTGTCCGGACACACACACCCACACACCCACCCACACACACACCCACACACCCACCCACCCACCCACCCACCCACCCACCCACGGAAGGACAAGGCGGAAACAGTATGCCCCTTCGGCTTCGCCGCGGGGCATAAAAACGACTGTGTGTGGGTGGGTGGGTGTGTGGGTGTGTGTGTCCGGACAAATCTTGTCAGCACGATAACTTGAGAAATACTTAACATATGAACTTCAAATTTGGTCTGTGTATTGTTCTTGGTAATCCTAAGAGGCCTATTGCATTTGGGGCCGAAAGGTCAAGGGTCAAGGTCACAGTGGCTGAAACAACAGAAATTTTGTCAGCGCGATAACTTGAGAAATACTTTACATATGAACTTCAAATTTGGTTTGTGGATTGTCCTTGGCAATCCTGAGAAGCCTTTTGCATTTGGGGCCGAAAAGTCAAGGGTCAAGGTCATTGTGGCTAAAACAAAAGAAATTTTGTCAGCGTGATAACTTGAGATATACTTTACATATGAACTTCAAATTTGGTTTGTGGATTGTCCTTGGCAATCCTAAGAAGCCTATTGCATTTGGGGCCGAAAGGTCAAGGGTCAAGGTCACAGTGGCTAAAACAAAAGAAATTTTGTCAGCGCGATAACTTGAGAAATACTTTACATATGAATTTCAAATTTGGTTTGTGTATTGTTCTTGGTAATCCTAAGAAGCCTATTGCATTTGGGGCCGAAAGGTCAAGGGTCAAGGTCACAGTGGCTGAAACAATAGAAATTTTGTCAGCGCGATAACTTGAGAAATACTTTACATATGAACTTCAAATTTGGTTTGTGGATTGTCCTTGGTAATCCTAAGAAGCCTTTTGCATTTGGGGCCAAAAGGTTAAGGGTCAAGGTCACAGTGGCTAAAACAATAGAAATCTTGTATTTATTCTGAGATCATAGGGATTAGGGATTAATTCATATAAAACCTACAGAAGACACTAATGCTGTCAATGAACATTCCATGTGACCAAGGTACATGTAAGTTGATGTTAAAAGAGTGGTGTTATGTCATGGGAACAGTCACGGTTGCGGGGCATTTGTGTTTGTAAACACACCTGACTTGTTTTCTCTGTTTACAGATATTGATGAATGTACTTTGGTAACAGACGAGTGTTCTGAGTTTGCAGAGTGTATAAATGTGCCAGGTGGATACAACTGCACATGTAACACCGGATATAACGATGACAATGGCAATGGAAGATCCTGCTCAGGTAAGACATGGTTATGCTATACATTGGGTTTTAATGTCAAGCCAAAAAATGTGAGGACAAAGAGTTAACACTAAAAAGCCAGGTGTTGTATAACTGTGTGCTGGTAAAAATGATAAACAGATCAAATAATCAATTTGTACCCAAACCTGTTAGGCCAAAACAAAAAGTCTCCTAATTCTGGTATGCGCGGATTGCGCGCGCGTCACCGTAGCCATGCGCGTCGGCAAAACGAAAAAGTTTTTTTCAGTGTAAGATGATGTCTCAAACTGCCAAACTCACTGGTTTGACTGGAATCCTGCTGCTGCACAATTTTAACGCGTTTTTAGATGGGGTTACAATCGAGTATAAGCTTTATGTGGCCTCTCTGGACTCCCATATATTTTGCACAAATTTAGTCGGGCACCATTTGCAGTCATCAGCAAACTTTTGAAAAGAAGAAAAAAAAGAGAAAGCTGCGTCACCGCACCACTTTTGGGGCAAGCTCAAAACCAGAAACCGGAGACTTTTTTTGGGACCTTACAATTTCGTCTAACGTTATCATCATTATCCGTAACATCTGAGCATTGACAATTTAATCTGACTGTTAACTGATCATAAAACCACACTTTCAAAAAATAACTTAGCAGAAAAACATTTGGAAGGTTAAATAAAGTAATCATGGGAATGTATCTATAATAAATGATTGATGGGAAATTTTCACTAGCGTCAACACAAACAAAGCTTCAACATTACTCCTACTGGGTTCGCTTTAAGAATTATAATTTGGCCAAATTTGGGTAGAGTCAATCAATTATTCCCTAACTTATAGTCAGTCAATCTGTCTTTCCAATCTTCTCTCCATAGACATAAATGAGTGCAATCTACAGAATGAATGCAGCAATAATGCTGATTGCAGAAACACCGCCGGTTCATATGCCTGCTCATGCCAGGATGGATTCGAGGGCAACGGGGAGACATGTGCAGGTGCTTAGACGTCATGTTTTATTTCAATTGTACCAACTTATAGTCTAGAGGCTTTTCTCGTTTCTTGAGACCATATCAATTTTGCACAGGAACTGCTTTACATGCTGGTTACAATGTACATTATTCCAATGGCATTTTCGCTGTGTTCACATAGAATTTAACTGTTGGTGGTGTTTCTATAATGCTCGAATCATTGTTTTCCATTTGTACATACATGTATAGTATAACATCTGTATGACTAAACTCATGTAGGCACACAAAATGATGCCTAGATACACATGTAAGGAAGAACAAGGTTTATTGTTTGGTTAGAAGTTTTGTTTCATGTATGTATTATGTTGTGCAGCGAAACAAACTAGTTCTAATTTGTCATCACGAAGTCATCCTAAAACCTGATAATGGCGCGGTAGATGTTACAAACTTGTATTAGTGAGGGAATAACTTATGTGCTTTGCCGGTTTTAAACTAGTACGTTTAAAGCGGTTTGGGGTCTGGGCGAGGATAGTGGCCCGAGACGATGTGGCGAGAACGCGGCTGTGCCGGAGTAGGGCAAATTTAGGACAACAAGAAATACGGACTCTTTGGTAGTATTGCGCATACCGAAGTGAAGATTGAACGTTCAACCAAAAAAAGGGTAAAAGGGACCAGATTTTATAGGAGTCCAAATTTCATTGACACCGAAGAAGTGTTTAAAACCAGCCAGTCAGTGTTTTATCAACCGTTTAAAACCACCCACGTGACGGGCTCTCGACCAATAGGAATGGGTAAACTGTCTGAGGAATTTACAAATTTTAAATAAAACTCTTTTACATTTTACCTGCTCCTCTTTTGTTTTTACCAGATGTCAATGAGTGCACCAGATCATTGGATAACTGCCATGAACAGGCCACATGTTCCAATACCATTGGTGGCTTTAACTGTACGTGCAGTGAAGGCTGGCTTGGCGATGGAGTCACGTGTGCCAATGAGAATGAGTGCGACCGTGTGGTCAACGTCTGCCACCTGCAAGCTGAGTGCACGGACACGACGGGTAGTTTCACCTGCGAGTGCTCGGCAGGTTATATCGGCGATGGACAAACCTGTTCAGGTGGGTATAGTCTAGGATATAAAAGCCCTGTTAATAAGCTTTCGTTTAGTACAAGTCTCATATGAATCGTTTGTGTACTTTTCAAGTTTCAAAAGTTTGAATACAGGCATCGTTTTAAATTTCTGTCCACGGATCACAAAAAGGTACGTGTTCTTTCAACAAAACGAAAACAATTTACAAACATCCCTATGCAGAACTTCACTATTAAAAAAAAATGGTCTTGACATTTGGGTTTTTTTTTTTTTTACTCATCCTGTACATGTACCCTCAAAAAAACTAATTCCTTGTGTTCTTACGAACACATTCAGCGTCACACTGATTTGTCTCTTTTCTTTTTACTGTCAGACATTGATGAATGTGATCTTCAGCTTGATGACTGTGTCCAAAGCTGCAATAACACCGAGGGATCATTTGACTGTTACTGCAGCCCAGGATTTTCACTCGATGCTGACCTCAAAAACTGTACAGGTCAGTACAACTGCTTTATTTGGATATGGCTGAAATTCTCATCTTCCGTTATAATAGTAAAGTAAAGTCTGTCACAAGCCCATCAGGCCGGCATTTATCTCTGGTTTCAGTAACATGAAACAACTGAGTATTCCCCCCTGGACGGGATGCAAGTCAATCGCAGGTTACTCCCCAGTTAATGCTGGTAACCTTTTATACTTCTGGGTGGAGAGAGGCAGTTGGGGATGAAGTGGCTTGCCCAAGGACACAACATATGACCAGCAGCTGAATTCGAACCCTTGACCCTCTGATCATGAGTCACAAACGGGAACTACTAATACACATTCCCCACTATAACTATTGAGCACAAGTTAAAAAGTATCCAAAAGGTAACACTTTTTTTAAGTTACTCAGATTGATCACATGATTTGAACTCCTGAACAGTTGTGTAGTTGGCAATGTGTTTTGAACTAACGTGCACTTTTTATTTGTATTTTTTGTGTGGTAGTTCTTTGGGGTAAAAGGGCCATGAAAATGCTTAATAATAATGTAAATTGCAAAACCAATAACAGATTTTCTAATGTTGGCCTATGTACAGTATAGGCTATATTTCAGATGTGTTATACTGTCTTTTCAAGATGCTTTATGTAATCATTAATACTTTAAGTAACAATGTGTGATGAAAAAGACTGTTTTTCATTGTTGCATGGTACCGTTTCTATTTGTAATGTATAGCGGACAGTGGGTGTGTCAATGCTACGTGTATCAATGGAGACTGCTATGATGTTGGCGGTGTTGCTGGCTGCATTTGCTATCGTGGATTTGCATCAAATGAGTCGGACCTGATATGCGAAGGTGAGAATGGGTTCTTAAATTTAAAACATAACGTGAGCGTATTAAGTATACATTTGGATAATAAAGAATTTCAATGGCTCCTCAACGTGATAAATGTGGGGTCATATATCCTTGGCGAACTTCACCTAGATGTTTTCACGTGCATCATATGATTAAGGGACATAATGATTGTGCGAAGAAGACCTCGATAAATGTCATGAATAACACTGTAACAAATTTTAACGTTCAATTTAAAGCAATTTTTATGTTCTCCGTTTTGAAATAACGTTGCACACTGTGCAATGTGAAAAAAACAGGCTACATGCATGTATTGATTTTATCAATTTTAATGTTCAAATCCTGTTTTATTGTATTACATGTATTACTCCTACTGGGACCCATGGCAGATCAGTAATGGTTAAAAGGACTGAATTGACTGCTCAGTATAAAGAAGAAATTATTTAATAAGTAAATAAATTTAAAGTTAGTACACGAGCCGACGTAAATATGCAGCCGTTAAAGCGAAAATGCCCTGTACTCGTAATTATGGAAAAATTATGCAATCGACTACAACACTGGTCAAAATGTACTAATTATGGCTTGCCGTATGATGTATGTTCATATGTTATAGACATTGATGAGTGCAGCCAACAACAGCACAGCTGTGAGGCTGCTGATCTTTGTGACAACACCATTGGTGGCTACCAGTGCACATGCAGGGATGGGTACGCACTCGATAATGATATGCGAACATGTTCAGGTAAGGGAATAGACATCCTAATCGAAATGATCAAGATGTATATTGTGACTAACTCTGGGAATCCTTTGGTGTACCGGTAGCAGTTATATTGGGATCAACACATCCTAACTCAAAACAGAAGAGAAATGTAACTTTTACACTGATTAAAAGTAGAAATGGACAGGCATAGACTTATAATGCATACTCAAACACATTCCTGCAATACATTCCTCAACCCTCCGATAAAAACATGTTATTACTTGGGTCAATATTGGCCAAGACCCCAATTGATTTGTTAACAGTATGCCAGGAGGCAAGAAAGGAAATTTTGACCGTTTGTGACCTCTGAAATAGCAGAAAGGTTAGCAGCTGCAACGTTTAAGTAATACTCCTGTAACGTAAAAACTGGCACTTTATTGGGCAATCATGTTTCTCTAAACTGAACATGTACCCGGTATGTTTGATAAAAAAAGCCTTGATTGGTACAAAACTGTGCATTTGGCCAAAAAGTGTCACTGGCTATCTGATACCAATAAACGTCTTCCCTTTAAACGAAGTTAATTCAAGCAAACACTCATATTTAAAAAAAGAAATGCAATTTGTTCATCATGTTCACATTTTTGCAACATTAAAGTGTTTTCCCAAGTGCATCCCATTTTTTTTTTGATAAAAAAAGGACTTGATGGTATTTTTTTTAATTACGACTTGACCAGACATCGACGAGTGTTCGTTACCGCAAAGTGATGCGATGGCTGCTACATGTACGGATAATGCTGTATGCATAAACGTCCCCGGCACGTACAACTGTTCTTGTATCCTCGGATTCGCTGCTAACGATACCGGATTTTGTGAAGGTATTTTTGTTCTCCAGTTTTTGCAGCAGCTTATTTGGCTGAATTTCGCAATCTCAAATAAAGACAGTGCAGACGGCAAGACCCTGAAGGAAAATATTTCAGAATAAGCGAAAGGAATCTAAGAAATGTCTTCCCTTAATGAATGCAGGCAGCCTCAATTTATGTCTGTTAAAAGCATACCCCTTGCTTATAATACATGTACCTACCAGGTATCCTGCTTTTATGCAGGAAAGTAACATCTTCAGAATGTTACGTTGGCTCATTCTTGGGACCTCGGTGTATGTTTTTACCACTTATATGATAACTGATTTGGACGTGAATACAGCGACATTAACACTCACTTTTCTCCTTCAAAACTGCTAAAATGGAATTATTCATGTACTGGAATCCTTTACTTTAAGTGATTAAATTATTACTTTTATTGATTTCTGGTAATGAAACCAAAGATGCCCAAAAGCAGAAACCTGTTGAGAGCAGATGCAGGGGTGTGAGTAACCACTGACAAAAAATAGCCGAAAACAGCTGAAAAAGGTGTAAAAAAAAAGCTGAACTTTGGAAATCTCTTATACTTTGGTACACAGCAAGTGAGGGAAAAAAAACCCTGAAATCCAACACACAAAAAAAGCTGAAATCAGCTTTAAAGCTGAGATTTCACACCCCTGCAGATGAAGAAATGACAGTTTTAGACGTGGGAGGAAAAACCCCAGAAGTATATTGTGGGGAAAACCCACAGAATCAGGTAGAAACTGAAAACCCAATCCACATGTGGACCAGGGCAGGAATCGAACCCAGGCCACAGAGGTGGAAGGCGAGGAACGAACCACCGTACATTGTACCAACCTGATTCCCAATGTTGTTCTGCTGTAATACAGATATTGACGAGTGTAGTGGGCCGTCCCCTTGCGGGCTCAGCAGCAGATGTGAGAACAACGAAGGGAGTTTCCTGTGTGTGTGTCCTGCTGGCTACTACGGCGATCCTTACAGTGAGTGCATTGACATTGATGAGTGTGAGACCACACCTGATATATGCGACCCAATGGCAACGTGTAGCAACCTCAACGGCAGCCATGCATGTGCGTGTTTGGACGGCTTTGAAGGCAACGGGACTAACTGTCAAGGTGGGTATCATTATCAAGTACTTTAAAAATACATTTTGCTGACAACAAAAAACATCAAAATTTTAAGCTTACAATCATACTGCAGATTTTCCGAACAAGGAACAGTTATTTGTTGTAGACAGGTTTGTGTGAGTGTGGCCTAGGGTTCGTGACTCGAACATGATCTGGAGTCAGCGGTTTGAATCCAGCTACTGGCCATTATGTTGTGTCCTTCGGCAAGGCACTTCACCTCCATCCAGGAGTATAATGGATACTGGTGTTATATGAAATTTGGACTCCTAATCTGTTTCCTTTTTACCCCATACATGGACCCCTCACACGTGACTTGTCGCTGTCCTCAATAGTTTCCCCTAGGCACGCGCAATAACATCAATGAGCCCGTATTTCGAAGAGTCCAAATTCCTCACAACACCGGCTTTAGCTTGGGAGTATTTGTAATGGACTTGCTTCCCATCCAGCAGAAATATCTCTTGTTTCTTGCCACTGAACTTGAACCCAAGGTGTTAACGCCGGCCTGATGGCCATTGGCTCGTGCACAGATTTAACTGTAATACTACATTGTAATAAGACAAGATTGGTATTTTCCCACTCACAATTACCGGAGAAACAAAAACAAATTTGTAAGTTAGGTTTTTTAGTGCAAGATGTAAGAGAGTGGATGTCATGTCATACCATGTATGGGTTGAAATGGTCATATCCCCAGAGGAAATTTCCTTTGGCCAATGCTATGTAGTTTAGAGGCAGTCCTTCTGTTTTGAGGCGTGTGATCACACCCCCACGCCATCACACGCCTAAATGCTTCCTGAGAAGTGTGAATAATCGCACGCCTGAATCCCTCAGTACCGCACACCTTGGCATACATTTACGGCATAATTATACTTCATAATTTGTGAAAAATAATGTTGGTGAAGGGAAAACGGCTTTATTGTAAACCAAGATGAATATTATGAAAAAAACAAATACCAGATTGTTCAGTCCCAACTTGGACAATAGAATCACGCACCTAGAAAAATCACACGCCTAGAAAAATCACACGCCTAGCAAGTCACACGCCTAGAAAAATCTAGGTGTGCGTTTTTCCACACACCTGTGATTCTCAAATCAGAAGGACTGTAGAGGCTGATGAAAATAATGGTAACCCTTAGAAAATTATTTGGGGCTGAGGCACGGAGAGATAATGATGAGAAACTTTGGTAAGAAATGTGACAACACCATCTTGTTTTGTTCTTGGGAAATTACCAAAAAGGTTAATCGCAATCACATGTTTTGTAAACAACATGAAAATACATGTAAATTTGATGATTTGTGTTTCAGACGTTGATGAGTGCGCCCTCAGCTTATGCAGCCCAGATTCGCAGTGTACTGACACCGAAGGCAGTTTCTATTGTACATGCAACAGCGGCTTCATTGCACCAGACGATTCCACTGGAGTAGAGTGCATTGGTAAGCTTTGGTGCTACGGGTTATACCCAGACTTGTGTTTCATTGCCCTTCATAAAAAAAAATCACTTTATGAATTGCATTTAAAGGCAATAAAGACACATTGGCCATACAGCCTTATACCAAATTATATTTTGGTGAAACAGACATACTAACAATATGTACAACTGGACGTGGATACGATATACCGGTACCTGATACAGTTTACACAATATAAAAGAAAAACAAAAAACTAATCGCTAACCACTTAATTGTGTTTTGCTCATTTTTAGATGTGAATGAGTGCGAACTCAACATGGACGACTGTGCCGAAGTGGTGTCCCAATGTGTGAATAGCAATGGAAGTTTCTCCTGCATATGCAGTGATGGCTACGAAATGAGCATGGGGGGAATGTGTGTAGGTGAGTCGTTGGATAAATGATTAAATAAAGTCATCATCGCTGACTTAAAGGACATTGGGTCATGGAACAGCCCAATTGGGCTACAAAATGCGCTTTTAACGAAATGATGTTAATCGGAAAGAACATTTAAAAGTAGGATATAAACATCCACACAACTACCGGTATTCTTTAAAAACTGGGCGTTTTTGTGCTATTCCCTGTACTATGGGTGCGAGAACGAATATCGGGGTCCACTTTTGCGACCCAAAAAAGTTGAGCTGTTTGTGTGCTAGTTGTGATTCCAGCCGTAAAGTGTTTTTGCCTTTTGCGGACGTCGAAGAAAATTTATTTTGTGCATTGGTGATTGGTCACTGCTGTTCCCGAGAGACACAACATGTATCGTACACTGAGAACGAGAGGAAAAACGTATTGTACTCCGTCGTGTCCGATGTAAACAACCGGGGTTTTTCATCTTTTCTCGGGAACAGTTAGACATTAGGTTGGTTTCCTTTCAACCACATGTTTGAAATAGGATAAGTAAACAATCGAAACATGTAATTTTCGGGGATTTTAGTACCTAGTGCCCCTTTAACAATGGTCTGGATGATAATACAGTGTGTATCAAAAAAAAATGCAAACAAACATAATGGAATGCCAGACGTAGAATGTGTAACCAAGATATAGATAATATAGGTATGATTTCAAAGATACGCCTTTCCACTTTAAAATGAGACATCAAACGTCAAAATCTGATAACTTTTGATAGAGTTATGAGTAACTCTCCAAGAGAGGTCAAATTGACCATGGGACCAAGTTTCAATTTTAGGCATTGGACAAAGGTACATGTAGCCTATTTGCCTCAGAATATCTCCATCAAAATGTGTTCTGTGAGTCAACACAATTCTAAACAAGTTCTTGCTATCACATCATGCTAAAATCTTTAACATGTAAACATGTTTACAAACTGAAAGCAAGAAAGAGATACATTCAGTTTTTTTCTGTGATTATTAAGTCAACCATGGAAAAACCAAGGTGCCATATCGTGAATAAAAAAAACTTACTTTACTTTATTTTGATGAAATTTTGCGTAACCTTCATCAGTAAAAAGAAACTTGGTTGTTTGTTTTCTTTTCCGCAGATATCAATGAGTGTTTGACAAACCCCTGCTCTGGAGCGGACGTTGTTTGTGCCAATCTGCCTGGCACCTATGATTGTCAGTGTGCACAAGGATTCTATCAAGATGGCTCCACATGTGCTGGTAAATATTATGATGAAACAATCTTTATAATTCTGTTGCTTGGCATGTTCCGGTACGCAGTGGCGTAGCCAGGAATTTTTCAGTGGGGGGGCGCTGGGGGGCTGGAACATTTCATGGGGGGGCGTCATGCAGGGGCATCAATCGCTTTTCAAAAGTGGGGGGGGGGGGGACATACCTTGATCAGAACTGATGCGCGAAGCCCTTACGGCGTGGGGTTCGGGGCCCACTTGAGGTGTGATCTGAAGCATTTTCTTACCACTTTCCTCCATGCTTTAAGTAATATTTTCTTAGCAAAAGATAATTATTTGAACATCCTTTTCGAGGTTGGAGTCATTGAATGAGCTATCGGTATTCTGAGCAATAGGCATGGGGTTCGGGGCCCGCTAAGGGCCCCGAAAAAAAATTTGATTCTCAATGCTCTGTGGTGTGATCTGAGGCAATTTCTTACCACTTTAATCAATAATTATCTTAGCAAAAAAGATAATAATTTAAACATAATTTTCGAGGTTTTCTCAGCTAAAGGCATAAGAACATTTTTTGAACATTGTTTTCGAGGTTGGAGTTATTGAATCAGCTACCAGAATTCTGAGCTATAGGTGTGGGGTTCGGGGCCCGCTTAAGGGCCCCGAAACATTTTGGATTCTAAATGCTCTGTGGTGCTATCTGAGGCAATTTCTGACCACTTTAACCAATATTTTCTAAGCAAAAGATACATTGTAGTACATAATAGGGCCCTGTAAATGAGACACGAGTTCAAAAATCTGGGGGGGGGGGGGACATTTGATATTGTGTCCCCCACCCTTCAAAAAGTGGGGGGGGGGGGGGGGACATGTCCCCCTGTCCCCCCAGGATTGACGCCCATGGCGTCATGTAGATCAATGATAATTTTTTTAGAAACTCAAAATCTTCGGGGGGGGGGGGGGGGGGCGACTGGGGGGGCGACAAGGTTTCAAGGTTTCTGTCGCCCCCCACGCCCCCCCCTGTGGCTATGCCACTGCCGGTACGGGTACATAATGTATCCTTGCTTTAGTAGACTTGCCAATTTGAGGTTTTGCATCCACGTGACCTAATCACGTGAATGGTGAAAGATCTGCCATTTTGGAGTCTACCGCGGCGCTCGATCGATTGATGTACAGTACATGTACACTGCCTAACGATTAATTGCATTGATCATTTTTGGATGGAATTTTTTCCAAAAAGTAATGAGTTGACCCCCCAATAAATGAACAGAAAATAAAAGGTGATGAAACAAGCTTTAATATGATGTGTGTCTCAAACACCTTGGAGGGTTGTGAGTATTTTTCATGAAATTGAGAAGTGGGCGTATTCATCACTGGGGTCTGTGGCAGGTTATTTACTATAGTCTGCAACCATAGACGTCCAATATCATCTCCATTATATAATGCAGATCAATTGTGTCCACTGACCTGTGATGTCACGTGAAATTCCTCAATCCTAAAGTTCCTCAGTATAGCTTTTTTTGCTTGTCCCAGAGGGCCAGCTAGTGTTCTCTTTGCACCTACCGGTATCTCACTGACGGACTGACTACCGTACCTGCCTATCACTTGTGAGCCAGGCAGTGCTGTTGTGAAGGATTAACCCATTAACCAATGAATTACCTAAGTCTGGCCCATTGATGAGGGGAGTCAGGTTGGCGTAGTGGTACTTTCCTCGCCTTCCAACGCTGTGGCCAGGGTTCGAATCCCGCCTGGGCCTATACACGTATGTGGATTGGGTTTTCACTCCCTACCTGATTTGTGGGTTTTCTCCAGAATATTCTTCTGGGCTTTTCCTCCCACCTCTAAAACTGTAATTTCTTCTCATTGTCTCCTCTCTATAGCTTTCGTCAGGCTTTCGGGCTACAGTGGCTAGGGTACTTTTCAGGAATCCTTGGTTTCATTACCAGAAAGACATAAAATAAAAATAAAAATACAAAAAAACTTACTAAGTTTGCCAATTCTTTTTTAAATCCAGCACTATGAGAGGTGGCAAGAGATTTAATTGCAAACAGAGTTCATTTTTATTTCGCAAAAGATCTGTGGCCGAAATTTGCTGTTCATTTTAATTTCACTGAAGCCAATGTTACTGTGATGATCGGTGATCAAAAACATATTTCTTTTCTTTATTGCAGCCGGATTTTCCTACAATGCTTCGGCCAGTTTTGTTGATGTAAGCGGTGCCGTTGTCGCTGGAAATTTGTTTAATTTGCTGGCAAATTATGTCCAATATCTCCAAGATTTGAAGAATGCGGTAAGTTCTCTTTAAATGTCTGCATAGTCCCTGACACTTAGACTATACGGAGTGAGTCAAAAAGAAAGTGACCTTATTAGAAAAATGTATTATTACCCTTCACCATGCAAACCTTTAAATCTCGCCTTGTATCTCTTACCGGTATCTTCAAATTACTTTCAACCTTAGCATGTACATTTCTCGGCATGCCTGATTCTGCTTATAGTATTTTTGTGTCACCTTCAAAGAAACACTCTCTGCGTTGTTGTTGTTGTTTAGACCGAAGCTGCCTTTGAGTCCTCCAGTATTGCTGGTGATTTTGGAGATGTTGTCGTCAGAGATATTACACGGATCTCTGACGCTGAGGCAGTGGTCCGATTCTCCCTCAACTTTCGGATGTTTGTACCGGAAAACACCATTGTCCAGGCATTCCTCATGCAACTCACGGGATCCAGAGGGGGACAGCTACTGCCAAACCATCGACTCATTGCCGAGACATTCATCGTTGGGGAACCAAGTAAGATATAAAAGCGTGCCCCCCCCCCCCAAAAAAACACATTATCCCTAAGAAAATAACTTGGCATAATTTCTTTGACATGCAAATAATTCAGCAAGTTCAGAAACATGACTTATGTCGGTTTTTGCAAATCAAACAATGCACAAAATGTAAAGAGTTTCTTTAAGTTCTAGATTACCTCTAGAGTCGTGGCTTCCAAAGGAATATAACATGTGGAATTACAGTTGAACAATGTATTCAATTTGCATACATTGCCACTGACAACCAATCCAGTAACAGCCTATCAATTACAGTTGGACAATGGATTTAGCTTCCCTAACCTACAGGTAAATTGCCATTCATTGCTATTCATCGTCATTGCCTACAGGTACCAATCACAAAACAACCTACCAATTAGACATTAGAGCACCTAATCTAATTAGCATACATTGCCAATATCCAATCAATCACGAAACAGCCTACCAGTTACAATTGGACAAAGTTACCTAATTTTGTTTTAGTTACCTAATTTACACGTACATACATTGTCATTGTCAACCAATCAGCCTATCAATTACAAGTGAACAAAGGATTTGGTTTCACCAACCTAATTTACATACATTGTCATTGTCTACCAATCAAGAAACAGCCTACCAATTACAGTTTGACAATTTCAGGATTTTGCTTTTCTAACCTAATTTCCATACATTGTCATTACCTACCAATCACAACACAACCTACCAATTACACGGCATCCTAACCTAATTTGCATACATTGCCATGGCCAAACAATCAAGAAAAAAGTCTACCAATTACGGTTGAACAATGAATTCAGCTTTCCTAATCTGATTTGCATACATTGTCATTGTCAGCCAGCAAAGAAACAGCTTACCAAGTTTTTCTACTCTGCCAATTAACATAATGTTTCAGTCCCAAGTACTTCTCAGAAAAATGGACACGGTGAGGTCATAGTTTGCTTGACATGAATAAAGTATTTTGTGGCAAGATGACACGAGTTGAATGTTTCTCGTGTTTTGGAACTTTTGGCAATAAAACTTCAATTGACTGTGTGTACATTCTGTCATCAAATGGACAGTTTGTGCGGGCTGAACAGATGCTTGTTTTACTTTTACAATTTGTTGGTGTCAGCATTGCATGTCATTAATAATCATTTATTAAAGTTGGATTTGTGTTTTGTTTTATTCTGAACAGAATGTGTTGATTTGCCTTGCATGAATAATTCGACATGCACTGAGAGCAACACGGCGGCGAGTGGTTACTTCTGTAACTGCCTCGCGGGATACAGTGGGACCTTTTGTGAGATTGGTAAGACTTACTCATTGCTGAAGAGGTATAATTACAGTATCTGTGCTGATAACCCTTTCCCTGAGCAAGTTGTTCTTCATCTAACGCGATTTGTTACGAGTCCCTTGTGAATGATTTCAGATAAGTCATACACAGGATGACCAAATAAAAGAAAACCGAATGGTGCCCCCCTCTTTTTACGGACGTTCTGCATGAAACGCTATCAAAATCTAGGATGTGAAAATAGTAAAATCCCAATGAATTAGCTTTATAGTCCCAATGAATTAGCTTTAAAATACCAATGAATTAGCTGTATTTTAGTAAACGAATCTTTCATATCGCTGATGTACTTTCCAAGTTATGGACTTTTATACACAAACACAGTTTCAGAATTTTGTCCACGGATCACAATAAAGGTAAGAGATTTTTAAGCGTAAGTAGAAAGAAAATGGATATTATAATTATCGAGAAAACAGCACAAAAAAAACAATCTTTTGACACGAAATAGTACGCGCATTTTCAAAAACTCAAGTCATTTGGCTGATCGTTGGAAATCACCGACATGTGCCTTTCTTGATTCCTTCTAAATGACATTAAGCTAGACAAAATAATTTCACGGGTGATTAGGTACAGTTTTAATCTTTAATAAGTACCTTTTCATAATAATAGGTTACTTTTGGGATACTTGCGATTAATCTTATACAGTCCTTCATTTAAAGAAAATCCAGGAGAGCTATAAATCGCTCTCCTCAAATATTTGAGGAGAGCAAATCGCTCTCCTTCAAATCTACGGATAAACAGCGGTAAAACGACGGGTTACCATTGTTTTTGTCTTATTTTGAATATAAGGATTTATTCAAGGGGCTGCATTATTATTAGTTTTTGCATAATAACATATGCTCAAGTTGCGTTACTTTTTTCGTTTTTGAAACTGTAAGACAAAATCAAATTTATTTAAAAAAACTAACTAAATGGAGATTAATAAAAGGTTTGACTACTGCTTAGGCTTTCATTTTTTAATACAGTTGTCAGTTGGTTCATCACTTGATTATACTTGGAAAATGGAGAGTTAATAAACGGCACATAAAGCAACTGAAAATTTGCTTTCAGATTCGTTAAAATTATATGAAATTTTCAGCCTGAACTATTTCAATTGCTCTACGAAAGCTATAAAAAAAGGGCCTCAAAATGACGCAAACTTGCCTTAAGTTTTATCGAAAATATCTGCCGTCGATAATCTTCAAAATAATGGAAAATGCAAGTCAAGTATGCCATATACACAATGCTAGTCCCGACGAGAAACTGGCTAACAACGTCTGAACGTCGCACTAGTACGAGTGTTTGTGATGCACTGTGTGTGGTGGGCCTCGTTTCACGGTATAGGATTTCGGTGAAACACGCTGCATCGTTTCACTTCACATACTAGTAAAACTTCCTCAAAATAAATTCATGAACACGGGAAATACATACACAGACAAGAGAGATCAAGTTTTTTGAATAAGCATGCAAAGATCGTCCTTTTCAATCGTTGTTTTCTTGGCATTTTTACGATGTCTATTCCGTCCGGCCTGCACGCAAAACACTGTACGGCAGGCAGTGCATTGCACCGCGTGGCTATTACGTTGACTGGTTACCGCATTTTCATCATGCCTTCATTGGGACTTAGTGCGCGGCGCAGCGGGAACCAGTCATTGCTGCACTAGCACGTATGGGCCCACGTGTTTTCATGCAGCTCTATGCGACATACAGATTGTGCACGCACAGTATACAACCGCTGTACACACACGATCTTATACAGTACGTCAATGTATGTACAAGCTCGGTGTTCGTTCATTTTTAGCGATGTCCAGCGGCATATTAACGTGAGTTTGGGCATTATACCAACGAAAAATACGTGTGGCTTAAGACTTAAAATCCTTTGCGTTTTTATCACTTCTTATTTTTAAACTTCCCGTGTTTGACGAGCCCTCTTTTGGATTTTTGAGGAGCGCTATTTTTGGCGCTCCTTCGAGACAGTCGAGGAGCGCAGTAGGAGCGCCTGCGCGATCGCACTCCTTAAAAATGAAGGACTGCTTATATGCCTTTTACCATTAACTATCCCCTGTACTGTATTGTATTACATCGTATAACATTGTATTGCATTGTATTTACATTGTGTTACATTGTGCTACACTGTATAATGTTGACTGACCTGTTCATGACAGCTCCCTGTGACGACACACCTTGCCAGAATTCTGGGACCTGCGTGACTGACGCAACCTCTTCCACTGGATACCGCTGCACATGCGCAGTCGGGTACACTGGGCAGAACTGCCAAACACTCTGTAAGATAATGACCAAAAATTCTTCACTTTTGTAAAGTACTTAAGTTATTTTCGAACAAAGGATCTTTGGTCGTCAAAAACATTTCCCCTGCGCTTTTCTATTCAGTTTTTTTTGTGAAGCAATGTAACATTGCTAAAACAAAATATCTGCCTCGACATGCAAACCTTCTGTTATTTCCATTGAAAAGTTCGAAAAAGTAAAACTCCGATGAGGTAATACTATGTCCAATAAACCTTCATGAATAATATGTAAATTTTTGAACTGTAGAAACTGTTTTAGTATTTTATATCAAGTGCACTATCTTCAACGTAGCGCCTTTATTCATTGTTGTCGTGTTCATCACAACTAAGTCATCGCATGTCCATGACAAGTTATTCAGTCTCGATTCCATTCAAAGGTTTATATTCAAATGAATTTGGACAAAGGCCTTTCATTTTTGTTGATCATGCCCTACTCCATTGGATTGTGACTGGACTTGTGGTAGACTTGCGATGAAATCGACCCTCCTAAATGTTTTTTGTCGGAGTATTGACATAAATGAATGGTAAGAAAATGTTATCATTTTAATATGAAACACAAACATATCATCTTCACTGCATTACCAATAACAACTGTGGCTATTATCGTCTTGAATGCAACTTTTCTTCGTTCTTTACTTTACCAATCAAGTACCATGTGACTTGGATAACAGATGTCAGAACGGGGCTGAGTGTACCAACAATATTCTTGATGCCCTTGGCTACACATGTACGTGCCCAGCCGGATTCACTTCGCATGATTGTGAAAGTGAAGGTAATTATAGTAATGATAACAACCAAGAATACCTGTGCACAAATAAAAAGAAAACCCCCCAAAAAACTCCCACGGCCCCATTTCTTAGTAGTTTCCCCTCCACAAAGTTTATAATTACATGTATATACTGTTCTCGACTTACATGTACCGGTACACAATAGTTGTAAGCAAACTTCGACATAATTATGTTAAAAAGTGGTAGTTAAAGCATTAGAGGGACACTCAAATGTTGAATAACTGACACATATTCTATTTGATTATGCATATTTTCATTACTCCTTTAGTGAATATTGTCGAAGAAAAAAAATGACCTTAACAGTTAACACAAAATCAAAAGCTGCTTCCACAATACGAGATTTGAAGCATTAATGATGAAACTCCTCTTAAAATTGAACGATTGCTTGAAACAAGCTTGAAATGATCTCGGAAGCCAACGAATTTCTGTTCATGCATGAGTGACGTGATTGTACCTAGTAATTGCTTGAAGGAGTAGTGTTTTGAGTACAATTGGAAAGGAGTCAGTGGCGATCCACTAAAGTAACACAAAAGAGGGCCAGGGCCCGAGGGACGAGTTGATATATACCCATGCAAGGCTACACTGGAACGTTTGTTACTAACGGAGAGTCATGACGGTTTGTTGTATGAGCTGCTGTCCGCAGCTTAAACGTGCTAAGGTGGACAATAGGAGTGTTGTACGGGAAAACTCTTGTTCTGCTCTGCTCTCTAAATGTGAAAAGTGAAAAAAAATTTTTTTGTAAAGAGCCACATGGGGGACAACTGCGAGAGGCTTTTCACTCATTTACATTTAGAGTGTTTAGTGATACCCGAACCTTGTAACTTGATTTTCGTGAAATATGTTTCATATGTTGGAGGATATTTTTTTTAATCAGACAAACACAAATAACATAAAATGAAAAAAAGCCACCGCCCAAAAATACACAAAATATTCTTTACTGATATCGTTACTAACCCCATTTGCTAAGTACGTGTACATGTATTGCAAAAGAAAACACTGTATGACATTGTGTATATTGTGTGTTGGTTCTTCCAGTGTGTGTCACTACCTGTGCAAACAATGGAGCCATGGACAGCGTTGCTTGTACCTGTAGCTGTGTGGCAAACTGGGGAGGAGCTACATGCACAGGTTGGAGGCAATTGTTACCACATATACTACTAAGAATAAATACAATTCATAACTATGCTAAGCTGTAAAAAGTCAAGAAACTGTTAACCCTTTTATAATGCTAAAATAGATATCCATAGCATGTCTTGACAGTGTAATGGACTTTGTCTAATCAAATTTACACTCAAATCTTTAACTAACCACAAAGATAACTGACTAAGGGGCATCATAATTATTCCAAAGTTGAACAAAGAAAAATTGAACCTGTGACCTCCAGAATACTGTACCAGTGCTCTACCAACTGAGCTGTTCTGCCCTATGTTGGCGGTTCTCCATTGTTTTAGTCTCATTGTTCATGGGGACTAGTCATACCGGTAGTCATTAACTATTTTGTGCCATATAACCAGGGATCACTCCCAAATTCATGATGCTAGCAACATTAGCAATACTGAAAAGCAAGTAAACAGCACTCACAATCTTGGCAAGCAAGTAAACAGCACTCACAATCTTGGCAAAGTTCTAAACCTATTGAGTTGTAGGAGATGAATATTTACATTCATCAAATTTTACGGCAAAGTAATCCATGGAATTCGTTATAAGTGATGTCAGTGTCTCACAATTTATCAGATTTTTTTTTCTTCCTGTTTTCAGTTTGTTCACTGGATTGTCAGAATGGTGGCACCTTGAATGGAACAACATGTGCATGCGATTGTGCGCAGAATTGGGCCGGCACAGAGTGCACAGGTAATGCCTTACGCTCACACTAGAGAATGTTTACATTAATACTGCACCAAATCCTGTAATCATGGTAATATCAACAATCGTTTTCAATAACTTCTTTTGCTTCAATGTTTTTTTGCCTTAATAATTGTGGTATAAAAAGGCAAACGGAGTGGCCTTTTGATACCCTGGGAGAGAGTTAAGTGTTTGAAGCTATATTGAGAGCGTCGTGGTCCAATTTATACGGTTTTGGACTCACATGCCGTGGTACGTGGATTCGAACCCTGAAGGGAAACACGGTGCTTGTGTTCTTGGGCTAGACACTTTACTACAATTGTCTCTCTCCAACCAGGTGCATAAATGGGTACCTTTGAAGTTAAAAACTAGAATGCGCCAATTTGCTGCAAAACTGGTCTCATGGCCTGATAAACAGGGGTAATAATTGTAAAGCGCTTTGAGACCGTTGGTATAATGCACTCTATTTTAAGCACATTGTTATTATTATACTGCAGCCACGCGCTGCTCCCCTTGGCAAGATGGCAAGGGTTAGTTTTTTTTATATTATAGCAAATATTGTTACACTGACTTGTTCGTAAATGCTGGAAAAAACCAAGAAAAACAATCATGTTCTCAAAATCTGGTTCCCTGACCTCATTCAAGAGGAAACGGTGCAATTTCTGGACATTGGAAATTGTAAGGTCAGGGAACCAGTCTAGCTGGCTTGTACCCATTCATGGGTGTTTAAATGGTTGCAAACAAAATGCGGACTAACTAAAAATGGTCAATTGGAGGCAGTTTTTGAAAAAAGCCTGTTTTTTCCAACGCTTTTTTTGGAAATGACAGCACACCAGCTGCCGTGAATTTACAGGATGCTTTAGACTGTCATTCACTAAAAGTCCAGGAAGGTATTTCATAATGATTTGGCAGTTTGTTCTTTGATGTGTGCCAATTTGAAAAGAATATAAAAACACTGTTTGATTATTCATTACCATTTATCAACAGTTTGCCAATTGGAATGCCAGAATAATGGAACACTGAATGAACAGACATGTCAGTGTCAGTGCGCCCCTGGTTGGAATGGGCTCCAGTGCACAGGTAGGATATTATAAGGTTTTGGAACACCAACATAATCAAGGGGTCATGGTGCGTGTGCCCTTGGGCAAGGCACCATGACACCTTGCTTCTCTCCACCTAGAAGTAAATGGGTACCGGTACCGGAGAGGGCAGAGATGGTTAGTGTGTGATTGAATTAGCTTCTTTGCGCCTAACAGGTTGCATCGAACTGTATAGGCCTACTCCCCAGGGACCTGAGATGGTATTTGGAATGTTTCATGGGCCCGATGAGCAGGGGTAATAATGATGTAGCGCCTTGAGCACCAGTCCTGGTGGATACGTGCGCTTTATAAAAATCCACTATTATTATAATTATTATTATCATTAGAATGATCTAAATGAATAAAATTGCTGTAAACTGCTTACTGACTAGATTGACCTGAAATAAATCAACAAGATTAGCTGGCTGGATGTTTCGGTCTTAACAACACCTGCTTCAGAGCCAAATGGCAGTCTTACAAGAAATAAACGTGTGAGGACACACAGTTTAGGATGGGTAACTACCGGTATATGAGTCCAGCAAGATGCTTGGGCAACAAAAGTTTGTACAGCAGTTTAAATGCCTCACACATGCATACATGTACAAGTCCAAAAAGAAAAGTGAAGCTGCCTGAATCCTAGAGCTGAATGAGCATACTCGGTGCACATTCATATAACAAAGACATTGTTATGACTCGAATATAGTTGTCACTTTGCCCCATGTGCAAAGATACTACCGGTGTGTAAAGCTTTGTGCACTTTCAATTTATATAGGTGTTCACATTTCTTGCCAAATACGCAAACCAATAGGCCGTACGATGGAATCAACTGTTGTGTAGAATACTCAGAGATTAATGAGAGAAACTAGAATTATGTTTGTGGACAATCGGAAGCTGTTTCCGATGTTTGAAATGACTCTGTGACGTGATGACGACATGATACTGGTGTCTGAAAGGTAAAACACCTAACTGCTGGGTAACGCTTCACACATACACATTTAAAAACGGATAAACAGAATTTTAAAAAAGAAAGAAAAATACAGACATAGCATGTACATATACATTTACTGTCTTTGGTGAACAATAATTCTTCGTTTTGCATCTGATCCAGATTGTTCATTGACATGCGAAAACGGTCTCACGTTGAACAGTGACACATGCGAGTGTACTTGTGCCCAGAGCTGGATTGGAACAGACTGTGAAGGTATACTGGTTAATACTTCAATCTTACTTCACTTTCACCAAACAAACAAACCTTTTTTTAGCAATATGTTGCACCAGTCACTTTTGCAAAGAGTAAAATGTCAACAATTTTTCCTGAATGTTGGAAATAAACACTCATTTCACAAAGTGTTTCCATAGTATTTCACAAAAGGCACAAAGGGAGTCAACAAGGTAATGCAGATAATCTCATCTTCAATTATGTGTTTTGTATGTTTTTCAAGACTTTTTGTAAAGTTAAACCTTTGGAAACCACAGGTTTAAAATAAAAATGAAATAAACCACTTCTTCAGTTATTTCTTTATTGTACATTTATAGCCATTACAGTCGACTCTCGTTATAACAAGGTCGATGGGACTAGCCAAATTACCTCTTTATAACGGGAATGTTGTTATAAAAGGACAGCGAAACAAGGAAACACAAAGAGAACCTGAGATTTGGGACCTCAGAATTTGCTCTTTATAAGCAGAACCTCTAAAGTGCTCTTTATAATGAGAGTCGACTGTATTTAGATGTTAAATGAACTAAAAGATTCCAATTTGTTTTTCTCTTTAGTTTGTCCGCTTACAGCTGCAAGTTGCCTGCCAGGCACTTTGGATGTCAACAATTGCGAGTGTGTTTGTCCAATCGCAATCTCTGGCAGAACCTGTGAAGGTAGGTTTGCATTTAACATTTTGGGCTAGGTAGGATCAGACATTCCTCACTAAAGCCTGATACGTACGTATACGTAAAACATACACTCTAATAAGGTCTGGGTCAGATTTGACCCGAAATCCGGGTTCCACTTGGCCCGACACCTTTCAGGGTCATAATGACACTTTTCCAGGTCAAAATGACCTGGAAAATGAGTCAGAGAAGTGTCATATTGACCCAGAAAAAAGGGTCATTTTTGGTCAAAATTACACTTCTCCGTGTCATAATGACCTGGAAAATGAGTCAGAGAAATGTCATATTGACCCGGAAAAAGTGTCATTTTGACCCGGAAAGGTGTCAGGCCAAATAGAACCCAGATTCCGGGTCAAATCTGACCTGGGACTTTTTAGAGTGTAGGCTAACTAGAGCACAGCAACCTGTAAAGCTCTGTTCATCCATTGCAATTAAAAGAATCTTTCATCCAGAAAGCACCATTTCTGGTCCTAAACACATTAACCACGAAACGATGATAGTCGGAAAGATTACTATAGAAGAGTAGAGTAGAATATAAATGTGCACACAGCTTTACACTGGAAATTGTTGGTTGCACAAAAGAATTTTGAGATACAAAAATTAAAGGCGTATTCGAAACCTGGTTCTCGTGTTGAATAAACATTCAACGAACTTCAACGAACACACCACTTTGTCTCTGAAAGTCGAGCCGTTGGGTTGCTAGACTTTATTCAAGTGGCTCTTATTTCAAATGCGTAGCTTCAAACATGCCTACTCTTATTATTGGGGCTCTCTGCAAAATCTCGCTTACGATGCATTATACGCAGTCCTAGTTCGATGTTGACAGGTTTGGCATTCAAGTCGGTGGCTTTATTCGTTTCTGGAAAAAAGGTATGGCAGGGCAAAAACACTTCTTTGTTAGTGTAATGCATTATGTGAATTTCTTGAACTTCAAAATATTATCAGTAAACATACAAAAAGAATACATTTAACAATGTCCGGACGAATGTTACCTTTACGTCAGTGCCGTAGCTTTGCATTCACTGCAATGTAACCTCGGTTAGATCTCGGCTTATACAGCTCAGTGTTCAGCTACCACTTTGATTCTTTTCAAAATGTTTTCCTTTCAGTTGCCAATCCATGTTTGGGCACCAGTCTTTGCCCAGGTGCAGGGAAGTATTGCATGGCTGACATTTACAACAGTGCCGGATATGAATGCGTCTGCAATGCTTTGGATGGCTACCTTGCTCAAGCAGGTGGCACCTGTGAAAGTAAGTTCATATGGGATTGGAATTATACACCTTTGCATGGTTCACATATTTATGAAAAATAAATTCTGCACACAGAACTATTGAAGATCATAAATTTGAAATGAGTGCAACATTTACCTTTTTTTTCTGTAGAGCAACACTCTAAAAAGTCCCAGGTCAGATGTGACCCGGAATCCGTATCATTTGGCCTGACACTTTTCCCGGGTGAAAATGACACTTTTCTGGGCCACAAAGCCACTTCTCTAGATCATTTTGACCCGGAAAAGTGTCATTGTGACCACAAAAGTGTCATTTTGACAAAAAAGTATCATTTTGACCCATAAAAGAGGAATTCTGACCCGAAAAAAGTATCATTTTGACCCGAAAAGGTATCATTTTGAACTGGAAGGGTGTCATTTTGACCCGGAAAAGTATCAGGTCAAATATGACACGGATTTCGGGTCAAATCTAACCCGGAACATTTTAGAGTGCACTTAAAACAATATGACGACAGGGTTGATCTCCAACTGCATAACTCTAGCTTACAAAATAATATATTTGTTTTAGCCGGTCCCCGAGAGCAAGTCCAGGGTCATCTCCGACCTATCTCACTGACTGACTCACTGACTGACTCACTGACTGACTCACTCCCCGACTCACCGTTACATGTGAGCTGGCAGTGCTGTTGTATAGGATTAAGCTGTGTTACCAGTTAATAGGCTAAATCCGGCCCTTTGTGTAGACCAGATACATGAACAGATTTCAATGAATAGACATTGTGAATCAATTAAATAGATTTGTGTGCACTCTGGGACCAGCTTTACCAGGCTATTTATTTGTAACTTGCGAAAGCAAAACATATTTCACCTTTTGGAGGTTATGAATTTCTCAGTACTGCTGACTTATTTTTAAATTATTGTTGTGTTTTTATTTCCATAGGATTGGCATCTCGAATATTCCGACTCCGAGTTGTGGGCATGAATGGGAATCCTGTTGCTTTTACTCCAGAGTTTAGCAATCACGTTTCCACTGCCAGCAAACAGTTCCTATCTCTAAGCGCTAGAGTGGTAAGACTATCTGTTCATCACCTCTGCCAAGAAGGCTATGTTTTCACCTGCGTTGGTTTGTTAGTTTGTTAGTTGGTTGGTTGGTTGGTTTGTCTGTGGATAGGATAACTCGAAAATTTATGGACGGATTTTCATGAAATCTTTTTTTTAGGGGTGGTCCTTGGTACAAGTACGGATGAGATTTTGGAATAATCTGGATCTGCGTCTAGACGCAGGATTTTTTAAAAGGATTTCTCGCCCATCATATGGAAAACTTTCACCAGATTGCTTTGTGCGACCAGCACTGACACGGTGACCCTGTATGCCTTAACACCCACCTAATATAACCACATGGATCAATGGACTACACCATTTTATACAATGGGGGAGTCGAAAGGTAGACCAACACACGCATATACATGTCAACTACAAAATGTTTGAGTTGAAGCACTTTCCCGAAAAGGCTTCTTCAAATAATGCCAGACCTAACCTATATAATATAGACCTATCTATAAGTAAACCTCCGGCAAGCTAGGTTGGACTGTTTATTTAACAAGTTAAATGTTATTCTAATGTTCCGAAATGTACCATCAAGAAGGTCAGCAGGTCAAACACAATCTGTACATAATTATTCACCCATTATTAGTAAAAGCAATACATCAGGTATGTGGGGCACAAAACGTACACAAATGTAATAACTATTTTTGTTACCTTATCAACCTTTTTGTTTCTATGCGAAGGTTTTGTATGTGCTACAACAAAATGGGTTAACTTCAGCTGTACGAGATGTGATAGGGATACGTGTTGTCAGCGGAGGGAGTTTAATCGTCGAATACGCGGCATTTTACAGTGATGAAAACTCGGCGCCAACAATCTTAACTATACAATACGCTCTTCAGTCTGGGAGCAGACTCAGTGACTCTGCTGACTATCTTGATGTAGACACAGGATATGTTACTTCGACCAGTAAGTTCAGCATAGTATTGAATGCTTATGTTTATGCAAATAATGAATGCTGATTATGAGTGCAATGGTAAGAATAATTTCATGAGGTAACAGATAGAATGTGCCATTGCACAAGGAACATTCCATCCGTCACAGTATGCAGTTATTCTTTCCATTGCATGAAAGTGACACATTCATTATTTTTTTGTTTTATACAACACCTGGATAAATCCTCGTCATCTGACTGGTCAGCTCAGAACCACCAATCGTGATACCTTGTAATGGAAGTTCTATTTACCATGGAATAGATCTACAATTTTTGGGGGGATTCGGCCGGGCCATGGGATGGGCGAACAATTCAATGACCGTGATTAACGACCTACCAATCAGATGACGGGGATTTATTCAAGCGTTGTATTGAATACCGAGGTGTGACGTCATTTAGAACCAGAAAGTGTAGTGCAAACGAATGGAGTATGGGCGCGTGTTGGTTCACGGGCTGAATCATGCGCTAATGTCTTGCACACATATTTTGTGCGTGTGACGTATTCACTTTGGTACTCCATAATATCAGCTATTTCTCATGAAAGAGATTCCAATATTTAAAAACTTACACTGATTTGAGGTCCTCAAACAGTTCAGTAATGTGTGAAATTCTGAATCACATCGAGTCGAATGCGGGTTACATTGTAAAAATTATCAAGCTAGGATTTTTTTTGTAAAAGAAAATGGGAAGGAGTCATTTTATATTTTTAACAATTAGAAACTACAGTCCTTGCCTCATATGTTTGTCTCATAATTCTTTTTTTAATGATTTGTTCACTATACGGCAGAGTTGTAACGAGTCACTGATTTTTGTGACTCGAGTCGAGTCATTAGGTCAAAAGGTCAAGTTGAGTCGAGTCAAATATTTAGCTCGAGTCAATTTGAGTCACGAATATTTAAACACTATATACCAAAATTTATATAAGGAGGCCATAAGTTTAGCCAGCGTCCGAATCCAAGAGCTTTATAAGAAATCGCCCAAAGCCAATGATGAAACAGCGAATTAGAAAATGTGTTTAAAAATCTGGTTCCTGGATAGTATTTTGTGCGTTCTAGAACCTTAAGGTGGGAGTCTGTACATTTGTACGTGACTGCTATTCGCAAAGCGAAGTGAGCATAAATTTTGCACCGTAAGTCATTGCACATACTTTTCACAAAGTTGTGCTTTTATTTTTGGGACTCGAGTCTTATTCAGCCTTCGCTCGAGTCGAGTTGAATCTTCTGATGAGGGACTCAAGTCGAGTCATTTACCCTTAGGGACTCGAGTCGAGTCGAGTCACCAAAAATTGTGACTCAAGTCGAGTCATTGACTCAAGTCATTACAACTCTGCTATATGGGTTGTATACCATAAAAGTCTAGTTCCCATTTAACACATTCTCTTCCCCTGTTTGACGTAGGCTCCGTGTCGTCTTGTCCTCCAAACTACTGTGCCAATGGCGGTTCGTGTTCAGTGGATTTTGTACTGTATCCTATCTTCTCCTTCACATGCAGGTAGGTGCCTAATTTGTTATTCGAAATCACAAGAACCAACTGCAATATCATCCAGTTATTTTCTTTTAAGTTATAAAGAGTCAAATACCTGAATGTTATCATTGCCTTAATACTTCACCTCTATGAGACATTTTCCGAATTTGTGCCACATACTTTTTCAGTACTCAAAATTATGATCAAACTTTGTACGTCGGAAATTGCAAAAGATAAAACCAAATATTAGATTCCAATGTCTGCATGGTATAAATGGTTTATTTCAATTAAATACAAAAGTGTTTCAAATGATATAGTAACCAAAGGATAATGTATAATCATCCAATAATATCACACTTATTTGACCGATGTATCACTAACCAATTACGTTACAAAAGTTAAATGATAATGTAGTAAATGTTACTACACTATCAGACAATTTTATGTCACACTTTCGGTTAGGATCAATAATGTAACAAAAATGTACTACACCATCAGTCGATTGTTATTACATTATCGGTTTGTAATCATGGTAATGGTCAATCTTTGTGACATCATCAGTTGCAACAAAACAAGTCTTTAATCGACAGCAAAAACTATCAAAGAATCCCAAGTTGTATTTTTGTCTTTCGATTTCAACCTTTAATGAACTCCTCTTGGATTCAGTATAATGACCCTTTTGCCAAAAAGTGAATGTTTTGTTTATCAGCTGTCAGACATCTTTTACTGGTGAACGATGTGAGACAGTCATACCTTTAGAGCCTGGTGTGACGATCACGACTACAGTAAGCATGACCACTCCAAGCCCTGGTAAGACACACAGCAACTCTAATACATTGTAAGCCAGTTCAGTATTCCAAAATACATGTAGTCTGGTGCACAGCTACCGGTAGATTCAAAAAAAAAATTTCGGGATAACCGCGGCAGATTATGCACACAAGCTATGGGGGACGTGGTAACTGAATGCAATCTGTGCAATTTTTCGTGCAATTGAAAAGAGATGGAACTTTGGTTTGCACAAAGGTTTTGACACACAAGACACCTCAGAACACTTCGCTGTCCAACTTTTTTTGGCAAAAAGTTCTGCTTGGGAACACAATTTCTTCAATTCTGCTGGTTCCTCGCTATGCTTTTGCACGCATACGATGACATTTTATCCCAAAAGAAAAATCGGCAAGTCTTGATTTGCACATGTGCATTTGGAATACCGAACTCACACATTATAATGTTATGATTAACAAATTTAAATGAGCACTTAACACTGCAACTATAGGGCGAGTAAAAAAGAAAGTGACCTTGTTTGATTTTTATGCCCCGCGGCGAAGCCGAAGGGGCATACTGTTTCCGCCTTGTCCTTCCGTGGGTGGGTGGGTGGGTGTGTGTGTGGGTGGGTGGGTGGGTGGGTGTGTCCGGACAAATCTTGTCAGCGCGATAACTTGAGAAATACTTAACATATGAACTTCAAATTTGGTTTGTGGATTGTCCTTGGTAATCCTAAGAAGCCTTTTGCAATTGGGGCCGAAAGGTCAAGGGTCAAGGTCACAGTGGCTAAAACAATAGAAATTTTGTCAGCCCGATAACTTGAGAAATACTTAACATATGAACTTCAAATTCGGTTTGTGGATTGTCCTTGGCAATCCTAAGAAGCCTTTTGCTTTTGGGGCCAAAAGGTCAAGGGTGAAGGTCACAGTGGCTAAAACAAAAGAAATTTTGTCAGCGCGATAACTTGAGAAATACTTTACATATGAACTTCAAATTTGGTTTGTGGATTGTCCTTGGCAATCCTAAGAAGCCTTTTGCATTTGGGGCCAAAAGGTCAAGGGCCAAGGTCACAGTGGCAAAAACAAAAGAAATGTTGTCAGCGTGATAACTTGAGATATACTTTACATATGAACTTCAAATTTGGTTTGTTGATTGTCCTTGGCAATCCTAAGAAGCCTTTTGCATTTGGGGCCAAAAGGTCAAGGGCCAAGGTCACAGTGGCAAAAACAAAAGAAATGTTGTCAGCGCGATAACTTGAGAAATACTTTACATGTGAATTTCAAATTTGGTTTGTGGATCGTTCTTGGTAATCCAAATAGGCCTATCACATTGGGGGTCGAAAGGTTAAGGGTCAAGGTCACAGTGGCTAAAACAATAGAAATCTTGTGTCTACATCACTCTACTTACCTGTAGAGCGAATACTACATATGCATTGTTCCCTATGCCGGCAGGCAATTCGCTAAGAGTTTTACATACAATAGCGCCCTCACGTGTCCTACCCACGCCGCCCTGTGACATGCGCACTACGTTAGCGTCCTCTTTTTCTCTTAGCCGCAGGACGAGGTACACGTGAAATTTCAACGACCTGAATTTCGCTATTTTATTGGTACCTCTTTTGCTTAGAGAAAGCTATTTCGAAAAGAAAGTATTGTAGAGTTGTTCTAGTGAAGTATTGTAGAGTTGTTCTAGTGAAGGATTTGAGTGAAAGTGAAAGAAATGAGTAATAGGAAGTTGGGGAGGACCGGGTGTGTCGATAATGGAGGGACGTACATCCCACCAGACAAGCCCGAGTTCTCGGGGGACTGCACCGGTGATGGTACGTCACCGCGGCAGCAGTCCCCTAGTCGGCCCCTTCAGCCACTGCCGGCTGTCGGAGCTGACGGACCCGTTGACCAAGCGGGGGGCCGTACAACCCCACCGTCTTCGGTCAATGTTCGCGGGTCCGCCCAACTGAAGGGGAAACGCACCGGCAAGACAAAGAAATTGTCTAACGCCGGGGCAATACCCAAAAAGGGACGTACGGCAAAAGGTGGCCCCGCTACGGGGCGCACCGTGCCTGTCCCTGGCCCGTCTACGGGGCACACGCAGCCGGAGGAAGTACTCCTCCATGGCTCAGTGCACCCAGGCCCACCCAGCCCCGTGATTACCACGATGCCTGGGGATGGGCTGTTATATGGCCGGTTGATTGACCGTACAGCACCCGCCTATGTTACCGGCGTGGGGGCGCTGTCGGCCGCCCGGGCTATTGATAGCGTAGAACCGAATCCCTGGGATTCCCCCAGAGATTTAACACTACGCTCGGAGGGCCCTGCCTCCACATCGGATTTTATTCGTTGTTCGGGCATCCCCGTGTCCCCGCAATCCTCGGCAACTACTCGGAGTCGCTCCTCAAAGAAGAAAAAATCAAAAAAGAGCCGCCGTTCCCGCCGTTCTTCGACGAGTTCCAGCGAGTCATCCGGCCGATCGCACCGTGGGAAACGCCACAAGGGTGGCGACCCGATCTCACGCGATGATTTTTTGGAGGCCTTTCACTCCCTCGTGGCCTCATTGTCGGGCCGACAGGGAGATTACGGTCACAGTTGGCCGACTCCGGGCCAAAGGGACATACCGCACACGGTTAGCCGTGCGCCGGAGTCCCCTCCAGAATTACAGCCCCCACACGCCGGTCATCACGGCCGTGGTGGGGTGACTACAGACCAGCGGACAATGCCGTGCACGGAGGGCCGTGCACCGGCGTCCCCGCCCGGTATTAGTTTACACCCATCGGCGTCACTGGACTCTGAGCGGGGCTCGATACCGGGACGCCGTGACGGCGCTGCTTCGCCCCCGGGGCCTGGTTCCCATTCCCCGGTGGCAACTCGCCCCCCGGACTCTGACAATTCGGCGGACGAGAGCGAACTGACCCGCACCATGCAACGCCTATCGGTGGCTGAGACCGAACTCCGCTTGGTCCAACGGGATATGATCAGAGTTCTGAATCTTCCTGCTGGTACCGAACCTCCTCCTCCTCCTGAGCGTCAGTCGTTCAAGAAGCGATCGGGACCGACGGCAGAACCGGTCCGGGCTTTTCCCACAATGCCCTTGGACCGCGTGTGCGTTGACCACATCGACGGTATAATGCACGCAAAGACTTGGAGTGCCTACGCTAAACGCGTAGACTCATATTATCATTTCCCCCCAGGAGATTTTGAGAAATATTTCTCAACTCCAGTCCTGCCGGACTCGGCCATTGACAAGCTCGCCGCTGACCGAGGGACAGCTTCATCCAAGGTTCCTTTTACAGACAAGACCCGTGGAAAGCTGGAAGATGTCACCCGCAGAATGGACTCGGCGGCACGCATGGGTATGCGTGCGACGTCCTTTCTTCTTCTCCTGTCAGAGTACCTGGCACTGGGATATGAAGAAGATTCGGTGATACCAGCCGACATGATGGTGGCTGCTCTCCATTGCCTCGATCGCGGCCTGTGCTCCACTCTCGACCAGTTTGCTAGAGTGTCGACCTTAGCAACATCGTCACGCCGCGCCAATGTGCTAGATGCGCTTTTCCTCCCTTCACCGGGAGCACGAAAGCGTCTCGACGATCTCCCGCTCTCAGGCCCGGACTTATTTTCTGGTAAGTTCCAGGAGGCCATGGAGGCCGAAGCAAAGCGCCTCAAGGCCACGGAGAAAATAAATCTCAAGAAACCGGCCAAGCCAAAAACCGCGGACAAGAAGAAACAGCCATCTTTTGTCATTCCCCGGCGCCGCCCCCCGGTCAGAGCGGCCCGTGGTGGATTTCGTGGGCGCGCCGATAAGGCGGTCGGCCCGCGCTATTCACAACCACATACCGGACAACAGCGTCCCCAGTCGGGACGCGGTTTCCGTGCGCCCACTCCCCGGTACACCGGGGCGTGGCGCAAGTGACTTATGCGTCTCCGGGCGGCCTCCCACCGCTGGACCCGTGGGAGGCCGCCTTCAGGAGTTCGTGGGGTCCTGGGTGCAGGTGACTTCCGACCGGTGGGTCCTCGAAACAATCAGCAGCGGTTACGCGCTCGAGTTTACGAGGACCCCCCCGTCGGACATGCTAATTCGGACAACGCCCGTACCGCCCGACACAGCAAAACGCCGCTCCCTCGAGGAGGAGATCGACGCCCTCCTTCTGAAGAGAGCAGTTCGTGTTGTCCCCCAAGGGGGGACCCGGGCAGGTTTCATGTCAACCTTCTTCTTGGCCCCCAAGAAGGAGACCGGCGTGTGGCGTCCAATACTGAACTTAAAACCCCTCAACAAGTTCATACGTCCGAAACGTTTCCGCATGGAAACGTTACGGACCATTCTTGCATCGATCATGACACCAGCGTGGGCGGCCAGTATAGACTTGAAAGACGCGTACTTTCACGTACCGATCAGGCCGGAACATCGCAAATTCCTACGTTTCCAATACAAAAATACACTGTACGAATTTGTGGTGCTCCCGTTCGGGCTATCCACTTCTCTGCGGGTGTTCACCCGGATCGTGAAGACGATCGGGGCGGCACTGCGGCGTCGAGGGGTCATGATATTCATGTACCTCGACGATTGGCTAGTAGTGGGCCGTTCTCGAGGGGAGACGGAAGCGGCGCTCCAACTAACGTGGCAACTTGCTTCCGACCTGGGATTTCTCATCAACACCAAGAAATCCCATCCAGTCCCCTCTCAGGTTCCCACCTTTCTAGGTGCATCCCTCGATCTTCGCAGGGGACTGGCCCGGCCATCGGAGGACCGCCTGCTGAACCTTCGGCAGTGCGTGTCCCTCTTCCTCCCGACGGTAGTGGCTCCGGCCCGAGCCTGGCTCAGGCTGTTGGGCCTTATGGCCAGTCTGGTGGACTTGGTGGATTTTTGCAGGCTGAGGATGAGGCCAATTCAACTTCACCTGCTGTCTTTCTACAGACCCCGCTGGCACCCGATCAACCATCCGGTGCCCACTACGTCTTGGCTAGTCCCCCACCTTCGTTGGTGGCTAGTCGAGGCCAACATAACGCAGGGCCGCATTTTCCGCCCGCCCCGCCCGTCGGTACTTATCACAACCGACGCGTCAGGGTACGGCTGGGGGGCTACCCTCCACCCGCGACAGGTCGCGGGCGTATGGGGCCCCGCACATCAGTCATCCCACATCAACGTCCTGGAAATGCTGGCAGTCACCAACGCACTAAAACATTTCCAGTCGGACGTCAGAGGGCAAGCAGTCCTGGTACGATGCGACAACGCCACAGTGGTGGCATACATCAATCACCAGGGTGGCACTCGGTCAGGCCATCTGTGTGCACTAACGTGGGATCTCACTCTCTGGTGCATACATCACGGGATAGCCCTGTCGGCAGTCCACATCCCGGGGGAAGAGAACGTCACAGCCGACGCTCTCTCCAGAGGCTGGATCGCCCCGACAGAGTGGTCACTGCTCCCACAGGTGGCTCAGTCGATCTTCAGACTAATCGACCGGCCGCATGTGGACCTATTCGCGTCGCGAATGAACAATCAGCTACCGATCTACTGCGCGAGGGGCCCAGATCCCAACGCGTGGCAGACCGATGCACTGTCGGTGCGGTGGGACGGCCTACTGGCCTATGCCTTCCCACCCATCTCCCTCGTTTCTCGAGTGCTGACCAAGATCGAGCAGGAGGATTGCCGAATTCTCCTCATAGCCCCGTTCTGGCCCCGCCAGCCGTGGTTTCCCCGGCTCGTCCGACTCTTGGTTCACTGCCCGGTAATTCTACCAAGGAGGGCCGATCTCCTTTATCAGCCCAGCTCGGGAATCAATCACCAGGCTCCGGGGGATCTTCACCTGACGTGCTGGGTATTGTCACGCGATCCCTCTGCTCAGCAGGCCTTTCGCGACGAGCTGCAACAATTGCAGCCCAGTCCCGTAGAGCCTCAACCAGAAAGGTGTACGATAGCCGACTACGCCATTTCTTTAAATGGTGTAGACGGCAATCCATTCATCCCCCCAATACTTCTGTAGGGGAAGTGGGGGATTTCCTCCTATACCTTTTTAACAGTGGGCTCACGACGGCCACGGTCAAAAATTATCGATCGGCCGTTGCCGCGATCCATCAGGGATTTTCGGACGGTTCCTCCGTTTCCGGCAACCCTGCAATTAGCCAACTGATCAAGGGGATGTTTAATACTCGTCCCCCAGTACGCACATTAATCCCATCTTGGGACCTCTTCGGTGTATTATCTACACTGGCGAAGGCTCCCTTTGAACCAATGAATTGCTCAACTTTGTTACAGCTCTCCATCAAAGTAGCTTTTCTATTGGCTGTTGCTACGTCCCGACGACGTAGCGAACTACACTCGTTATCGATACAGACGGGACACATCCGGTGGGAACCGGGGGGTGTCCGCCTGATCCCTACGGCCGGTTTTCTCGCAAAGAACCAGTCGGAGACCTTTATGCCCCCGGACATCTTTGTCCCGGACATCAAGTCTTTTTCGAACGAGGCAAACGACAAACTTTGGTGCCCAGTTCGAGCACTTAAGTGGTATGTCAACCGTACGAAGTCACTTCGTACGGGACACGAAAAATTGTTCATCACGACGACCCCGCCCCATGGGCCGGCGTCCCGTGATACAATCACTCGCTGGATCGTGACAGCTATCCGGTCTGTACCGGGCGGCTGGCCAGCGACCCAGGGACCCATTCGAGCGCATGAGGTCAGGGGAGTGTCCACCTCGTGGGCCTTTTTTAAGGGTGTCCCCCTAGGTGACATCGTCAAGGCAGCCTGCTGGAAGAACCCTAACACGTTCTCCGAATGCTACCTGAAGGATGTCCTCCAGGCAGATGGCAAGGCTGGAAGAGAAGTGCTGCTAGCGGCCAGTCGAGCCTCACGGAAGCACTAACGGGTGAGCATATCAATATACATATATATATTTGTATGGGCATTAAGTTTACTTAGGTGTACCTATCATGTGTTCATTCCCATAATGGTTACACCCCCCTGACTTCTTGCGCACGAGCTCTTTGGGTTCCCCTGACGAGGTGAAACCTAGAGCGTCTGGGGTGTAGGTTTTGGTTGGGTGTTGTTTGCCTTTGGACACGCCTCATGTCCTACACCCCTGTAGACATACGGTAATTTGCGTATACCCACCGCCTTACTCGGTGCGAGTCTATGCATATGTAGTATTCGCTCTACAGGTAAGTAGAGTGATGTAGACTCCCCCCCCCCCCCCCCCCCCACAGTAGTGTGGTTGGGGTCTACGAGCGAATACTTACCTGTAGAGCACCCCTCCCTCCTTCCCCACTATACTCGATTCCTTGAGTGCTTACGCAAGTAACGCTTGAGAAAAAGAGGACGCTAACGTAGTGCGCATGTCACAGGGCGGCGTGGGTAGGACACGTGAGGGCGCTATTGTATGTAAAACTCTTAGCGAATTGCCTGCCGGCATAGGGAACAATGCATATGTAGTATTCGCTCTACAGGTAAGTATTCGCTCGTAGACCCCAACCACACTACTGTGGGGGGGGGGGAATTTATTCTGAGATCATAGGGATTAGGGATTAATTCATATAAAACCTACAGAAGACACTAATGCTGTCAATGAACGTTTCATGTGACCAAGGTACATGTACAATGTAAGTTGATGTTAAAAGAGTGGTGTTATGTCATGGAAACAGTCACGGTTGCGGGGCATTTGTGTTTGTAAACACACCTGACTTGTTTTTTAAGCAATCAAATTTGATACACCAATGAAGCATGCCCTATTAATAGAGCTTGTTCTTTAACTCATCTGACAAGAAATACTGAAAGAAGTTAACAATGCATGTTTTACAAAAGGAACCTATTTTGTAGCTGTACATGTATATGGAGTGCCATCACTGCCATTGGAAGCCACTGACATGACTGAGCTGAGTGAGAATTACAGACTACACACAGGAATTCAAATACGAATGAAAAATAAATCATTTCAGTCAAGCCTGAAATTATTTTTACTGTAACATTTTGTGTTTTGAATATGTGGTTATGTGGAATAAAAATGACACTCTGTGACCCAACTTCCGGGTCAAGGGTAATTTTTGACCCGGAAAAGGTTCAAGCTCCACATGACCCTTGTGCGGGTCAAATCTGACCTGGGACTTTTTAGAGTGTGGTATGTTGTTCCAATCTTTTTTTTGTTGTTCTTAATTAATTCACACAGGTTTGTCGACACTTTCCATCATCCTCATCGCAGCTGGAATACTACTGGTCCTTCTGCTCACGCTGTTGTTGATCATGTGCATTACATGCATGGTAATGCGACCGCGACACAAGTTGGTCAGATATGGCAGACCTGGTTGGGGAGATGGCATGGTTCCCATCCCATATGGGCACCACAACTATGGCCTGGATCATAATGGCGATCGCGAGTCCGAGAGCCGAAGTGACGATATCGAAATGCACCAACTTCAGCAGGCTTTGGGGCGCTCAATGTACCCACAACCGGTAAGAATTTGAGAAAATTGCGTTTGAAGTTGGTGGATTTTTCAATTTGCATTTCTGTGTTCATTTCTCCCCCAGAATTAAAAAAAATTTATATAACTGAGACAATAGCCCAGGAGTTAAATAGCCAAATCGTGTTTAAAGTAGAAGATGTTCATTACTAGAGAAATCCGTCACTTCGTCAAAACGGAAAATCTACTTGTTTAAAAAAATGAGGCATATGTTTGTACACAGTGTGCGCGTATATTTAGTATATTTTAGAACGCAGATGTGTCACTTCGTCAAAACGCAAATCGTGGAGGCTTCATATTTCTAAATATAGCGCACGTGTAAAATCAATGAGACTACATGTATGTGACACATAGAGATTCGTCACTTCGTCAAAACGAAAAACTTATAGTGTGTTAGTAGCTCTTTGAACACTAAATTAGCGTAATTAATGAACAAAGAAATGTTGTGTCTCAAAATTTGGTAATCCTGTAGAGGACATCATAAAATGTTAGAATATCCAAAATCTCAGATTTCAGAATCTGGGTTTTGGACAAATTCGTCACTTCGTCAAAACGGTGGCGATATACAGTACCCAAAGGGCCCATGCAATGTAATTTGTGTAATACAATCCTTGAAATACACCTTTGTATCATATTGAACCTTATTTTTGAGTGGTCGGACACAACCCGACCACTGATTGGAGTTGTTATGATTAATCATCTTTCTTTCTTTCTTTCTTTCTTTTTTTCCGGACAATAAGTTTCCGTGGGTTTTCTCCTAAACGGTATATGGTATGAACTTGTAACTTTCAACATATATCGACACTCGTCCCTAGTGGTGCATATGACTATGACGTCATGATGACGTCATTGGGTGTCAAATTACAAGCGATTTTAGAGGAAAAAGTGGCCAAATACTTTCACCTATAACTCTTAAACAAAATGATCAATTATGTTCTTACTTTGCAATCAGCTAGACCATTAGTTGATAAACATTTTTTGTCATGTACGTGAACTCGCTTGACCTTTACTTTTGGGTCTACCGGAAGGTCAAAGTTACGTGAATTTAGAATGAAGACTTTAGCCTGAAATCAAAACAAAGCAAAACGTCTTCCAAACTGTTTAAGCTATGATCATCAAACCTAGTGTGAGCTTGTAACATGTTACAAAGATGTTAAAATCTTTGTAACGTCATCATGACGTCATCAGGTATAAAATTGCAAGTGATTTAAGGGCAACTTTTGACAAAATAGTTTGCGCTATATCGTTTGTACTAAATAGAGTATCGTGTTCGTTTTTTTCGTGAGGTTGCAGAGAAATATTTCTTTCCCCAGACACAAAACCGCTTGACCTTCACTTTCGGTGTTACCGGAAGTGCAATAAAATCCAAATATAACTCAAAAGCGGAAGCATTTTACTACACACATACAAATTATGAAAGTGTTAAGAGAGGAATACCGGACACAAAAAAAGTGTGATGACATTAGCATCCGAAAGAGCGCCCCCTAGCGGTACATAAAATAGAGTTTGCTTTCTTTAATTTCTTTAAACCATCCTTCCAAAAATAGCTTGTACGAGCCAGAAATAACTTGCATGTGTACATGATTATAATGCTTACTGAAGTTTATCACAAAATAATAGATTGTACTGGAAAGGATTTAATTTCGTGATCCTTTGTTCTTACATAAAAATATTCTTAACTGAACTCGGCAGTGTTTTAAAAAAAAGTGCCTGACCGACCACTCTGCGTTTGTAACAACAAACGCGAACCTCTAGTTTAATTTTGGTATTGCCATTTATTTTTATGCTCATGAATATGTACATGTACATGTACATGAGCAAAAGTTTGATATCATTTCAGGCAGAAACCTCAACGTTAAAGCTATTTCAGCACCAAACGTTGCCAGAATATTTGATATTTCGCTACGATAATTTTTTTCTGTTTTGATTCGTTGTTGTGTCAGTACAAGGCAGTAAGCCAGTGAGCAAACTCTTCTCACAAATGTTTAAAGGAGCATATTTTTGGGTTCACAAAGTGAACCTCTAAACTGAACAGTGTCTTCTTAAAATGGCATCTCAGTAACAGCGCCCTCTATTGTCCGAAAGCTTGGACAATTTAAATGTTTAAAGAAGTGCACTTTTGAACAAACTTTTTCAAAAAAGGGATGTCAAATAGTTTTCGTACATTTAAAAGGAGTAAAAAGTTGAACAAAATAATTTCCTAAGAAAAAAAAAAAATCCTAAGAAAGTAGCATGGTATGGGCAAGAACATGAACAAAAGTTTTTGAAGCTAACTTAAGTGTAGCTCAAAAGATGTTCCACCCATACTTCAATACCAGAACAGATAACACAACTAGATGTATATTTATCAAGAAAACAATCTGAATTTCTGAAAAGGGAATTATTCCAAAGAATGAAAAAGACTAAATAATGGTATTGATACCAATGTGGTGCTTATATAGTGCTTCAAAGGTCTCAAAGCACTCCACAATTTTATTACCCCTCTTCATCAGGCCATGAGACCAGCTCGAGATCAGCGCATTCCGGTTTCTACCTTCACATGTGCCCATTTAAACTCCTTGGTAAAAGCTTCTGTGTTGTTAAGAAACCGCTAGCACAACATCACCAATGAATATACCTTATAACATGTACACATTTCGGATCAAACAATATTTGGAGGTAATGACTGGGGGGGGGGGAATAAATTATTGCCTAAATCGTTGTCTGCACCTTTTGCACAAGCGGTGCCAGGGGCGGCGGAAAAGGGGGGGCTGGGGGGGCATTTGCCCCCCCAGATTTTCCCAAGTGCCCCTTTTGCGGCCATAAATGTGCCCCCTTGAACAGTAAAGTGCCCCCTCAAGATACAACAAAAATGCCCTTAAAGTATCTTACTATTTCTTAGAAATAACTATATCCCAATAATGGTATAGAAATTTTTGATATAAACGAGGAATATGAAAACCAAGTCCCAAAACCAAGTCCCAGGTGCCCCTTTTTGGTGATGCCCCCCCAGTTTCAAACCCGTTCCGCCGCCGCTGAGCGGTGCAGACGGATGCTTTGCAACCTATACAATTTCTATCAACTCATGTGCTTTTCTGTTTTTCTAGGACTCGGCTGGACGATTGGATAGTTTCTCGAGACCTTATGTGGCATCAGGCAATGAAGAGCTGTACCGCGTTTTGGATGGGGTAAAAACATATATTTTCAATAAGGGAATAACAGTGTGAGGAGCCGGTCTTCACGGCGTGATAATGACCGGGTGTGAGGGTGACCGCTGTTAATGGACCGGATCCTCACACTGTTATTCCCATTAATAAATACCTTTTTAACGAAATAAACAGTTCAAATGCTCCAATTTTGTGACTTTTTTCCGGCGATATTTCCGGACTTTTTTGTGTTCATGTTCATGGGCCATATTTTAGCTTAACAGCTATAACGACGTAAACTCAACAGAAACTACTGCCGTAGCGAAACAAATTACAACAATGTTTTCATATCTTTACCTGATGGAGGAAGCTGAAATCTCGTTTACACATTCCTTGTGTCCAGAATTACAAAGATGCTTGGTTTAGGAAAGGTAAATATGTCGTCGGGTGAAGTGTTTCAAAGAAAACAAATCGTAGATCTACGCTTTCGTCGTAAACATCCTCAGTATTATACTGCACTGCTGTACGATGTCGTTTCAAAACTAGGCGCGCGCACGCACGCATCCCTAGCAACTGTGTTGCGTACGTGCGCGTCAGTCTCACACGATGGGGGTTGAGCACATGTGCAGTGCTCTATTGTTACAAGCTACCGCAGGACTGTTACTATATTTTGACCAATCATTGGCTTGCATGGGGCTGAACGGGGCTTGATCAGTGCTGGTTCAGGGTACATTTATTCGCTTGATCTTTGAAGCCGGTCCATTATCACCGTTAATACCCGGCCACGTGATCGAGTCTCGACCAATCAGAAACCATCAACTCTCCAAGGTATTTATTAATGCTACTTATTAAACAACGATACCTAAATACGTCCCCTTAAAGGGAATGTACATCATTGGCTTTCGCTGTAATTCTCAGAAATGAACTAGTTGAGGGGTTAGTATAATAGAACAAAATATTGTTACACTGACATGTTTGAAGTTTTGTGTCCGAAAATGCTGGAAAAACCAAGAAAAACAAAAATATTCAAGTAGTCTGGTTCCCTGACTCCACTAAAAATGAAATGGATCAATTTATAGATGCTGGAAAATTGTAAGGTAAGGGAACAAGTCTAGCTGGCCTGCACCCGTTCATGAACATGTAACAAATAGCAAACACAATTTGGACCGAAACAAATGATAAATATGGAGCAGTACTTGAAAAATAGTTAGGTTTTTCCAACAGTGGTCGGAAAACCACCGTTGGAAATGTATACAAAAATACCATTTTCTTAAAAATGACTTCACACCAGGTGCCATAATTTTACAGAATGCTTTAGACTGTCATTTACCAACATCCTAGTAAGGTACGGTATTTCGTAAAAACTTGGTAGTTTTATTTTTCGATGTTTTCAAATGTTGTATTTTCCCTTTAATAAAGAGCTGAGTAATGTTTGTTTTAAATTTTTTCTGTATTTTAAGACCACGGGGCAAACCCAGCATTTGAGCATATTATGCATGCTACCGGTATTTGCACCACATTAAACAGCATACATGTATGTCAACAATTTGAAACTATTAATATTTCAAGAGGTACATGTATACATGTACATGTACACATGTATATGCACAGAGAAACCAAAGTAAGTAATTTGACTCATTATCGTCAAAAATGAGTCATTTTGGCCGAGTAGTGACACACTTTGAGCCATAGTGTGTCCCTAAACAGACCGAATGACTCATTTTCTTGACCGAAGAGAACCGTTGGATGAAAGTTGGCAGTACGTGACCACGACATCCAACTTGTACATTTATGAACAAATGACACAACGTCTGTATTGCTGCCAGCTTCCATGAACATCCCTGTGCCCATTCTACAAAAATACTCACCAATTTAGATTCCAGTTCAAATGTAGGACACAAGGAGGTATGCATACATACATCCCTTTTCTTCGATACAACTCAAACTGCATACCACTGATTTTAGAATGAAGGGAGTGCTGCTCTCTCCACCAATCTACCTGCATTTCTAACCCTGCTGGATGCATAAAAGCCAATTTATGTTAAGTTTTTTTAGTCTTATAGCAGTTAGGAAGAAAAAGTGCAGTTAACAAGATAATAATGCTATTGGATTTTGGGCAACATTGCATCCAGAAAACAAGTACAAGTAGTTGATTTTACTTTGTATTTCTTTCTCCACAGAGACCACGTAATAGCAGGCCTGCTCCTGCTGGAGCTGTCTTCAATCCAACGTACTAAAGTCAAACTGCCGATCAAGTAAGATAATTTTTACAACATCGGACAAACTTTTGACAAAATAGTTTGCGCCATATCATTTGAACTAAATAGAGTTTCGTGTTCATTTTTTCGTGAGGTTGCACACTATGCCTTGAGAAACATTTCTTGTCCTCGGACAGAAAACCGCATGACCTTCACTTCCGGTGTTACCGGAAGTGCAATAAAAACCGAATACAACTCAAAAGCAGAAGCATTTTACTACACACATACAAATCAGGAAAGTGTTAAGTGAGGAATGTCAGACACATAAAACAGTGTGACGACGTCATCTTTCGAAATCTATAATCTTTGTTACGTCATCTTCACGTCATCAGGTATCAAATTACAAGCGATTTAAGGGCAAATTTTGACAAAATAGTTTGCGCTATATCTTTTGAACTAAATTGAGTATCGTGTTCGTTTTTCCATGAGGTTGTACACTATGCCGTGAGAACCATACACAAAACCGCTTGACCTTCACTTCCGGTGTTACCGGAAGTGCAATAAAATCCGAATATAACTCAAAAGCAGAAGCATTTTACTACACCGTTTAAGATACATTTTTGTAAAAAAAAAGAAGAGTTGATTGTACTGGAAGGGATTTAATATCGTGATCCTTTGTTCTATATATGCGTATATTCCTAAATTTCTGGGCAGTGTATAATGAAAAGGCTGTTAGCCCGACCACTCTGCGTTTGTAACTCAACAAACGCGAATCTCTAGTTTTACTTTGTATTTCTTTCTCCACAGAGACCACATGATAGCAGGCCTGCTCCTGCTGGAGCTGTCTTCAATCCAACGTACTAAAGTCAAACTGCCGATCAAGTAAGATAATTTTTACAACATCGGATTACCACACGTCTTTCGTTAAATATGCTGAAATAGAGTGACAAAGTTTGAAATCGACAAAGATTAGAACCCGATAAGACTTACTTTAAACAGCAAACTGTATTGTGACAAATCTGAAATCCGTTTACAAAAAAGAGTTTACAAAATGACAAACCTTTAACAGAAGACTCACACTGTGATTTCGTAATTTTTGTCTGTATGCTGAGTAAAAAAAAAGTGGAACCGAGATCCAAAGAAATATATTTCATATTTAAAAAAATAATGGTGACTGGCAAGCCAATTTCATAAATTGCTTTTAGATGAAAAAAAAATGACTTTAGGTGCTCAATTTGTTCAATTTACTAATAAACAAAATTACCCTAAAGTCTGTTACGTCCAAAAATGCGATTTCAAGAATTGTCGTTACAAGATGTATTTCGTCAAACATCACCAGAGATAAAACCGCAATTAAAAAGTGACAAATATTCAACAAAGTCCTCTTGAAGGCCTGTCTTTAATAAAGAGTGGATTTTATAAACCCTATTGTTGGCCAAAGCAGGGTTATGAATGAAAATATATTGCGTACTACAGGACTGTTGTTGAAACAAGTATTCTGTGTCATTTTCTTTGTTGTTGGACGAAACTGATTTTAGGATCACTTCGTTTAAATAGTTATAAAATGTTAACGTGTAGACATGGTAGAGCAGTTAAAATAATTTCTCACTTAAAAGTAGTTCAATAAATGGGCTTCCAACTTTTTAATGTTGGTGCTACATAGTTTTTTTATATGAAATTATATTTTGTTGTATTGGGTTCCGTTTTTTTGTGTGACTCATAAATTTATTAAATGTTGACACAGTAACTTTTTAAAACTTGTTTATATTTGGCAACAACTCTTCTTTTTGATTTAATTCGTTAAATACATTGTACATGTACATGTATACATGTGTATGTAATATGTTTATATTGGCAAATATATCATGTAGGCCTACATGTAGTTTAGGCCCCCAAAAAAGTTCTGCTTCCAGTTTCCCTACCTACCCTATTCTGACAGCCCCTACCCTAATTGTTTTATGGGCAAAATGAGGGGGAAAAAACCCCGAAAACCATCAAAACCAAAACAAAACTAACAACCTACCCTACATGTACATGTATATTCAAATGCCATGTACATGTAATTGAAAGCAGAACTACTTTTTGTTTAGCCTTAACAGTAAGCCTGTTTGATCATTTTCTTAATGTAGAAATATGCAAATTTGTCTTACTACATTTTGTAAATCTGGGTTTTGTGGCTATATCTTCAATTGTACACTACAGTATATTTTTTTAATTTCATATTTTTCAAGACAATTTGAAAATTCGTTCTATGTATTCGTATTAAAGGTGGATCCTGTAATCAGAATAAAAAGATACAAGTTCTATATTGGCATTCGTAAATGTTTTGGGATCGTAGATAAGTCAGCTCGTAATATGTAGAATGGATCTGATGGGAAGATGGTAATATACTTTGCTGCAAAAAAACAACATTTTTATAATTGTATGTTTTGTATCAAGTAGAAGTGAACTGCAAATAATTTAGACAAGATCTTATCGGAAAATTGAATTTCCGAAACACGTTATCAAGCAGCTGCATAAAACAAACATTTCATACTTTTATGTTTAAAAGTCATACCGTTGAGCAGTTGAGCTTGTTATTATTGTACAATGGATCGTAGGGAATAATGTATTTTTCAACTACATGTATACGTATCAGAAGGAAAAGCAAACACTTCAGAATTGTATGTTTTATAATCTGATACATGGCCCTCTTAAATTACGAGTTACTTATTACTATCTCCGCTGGCTAACTGTCACTTGTGAAGTAGACTTCCTTAAAGGGAATGTTCATCATTGGCTTTTGCTGTAATTTTCAGAAATGAACTACTTTGAGGGGTCCGTAAAACAGATCAAATATTGTTACACTGACACATGTTTGAAGTTTTGTGTTCGAAAATACTGGAAAAACAAAGAAAAACAAAAATTTCAAGTAGTCTGGTTCCCTGACTCCACTAAAGATAAAATGGATCATTTATAGATGCCGGAAAATTGTAAGATAATGGAACCAGTCTAACTGGCTTGCACCCGTTCATGAACATGTAACCAATAGCAAACAAAATTTGGACTGAAAAAAATTGGTAAATTTGGAGCAGTAGTTGAAAAATAGTTAGGTTTTTCCAACGGTGGTCGGCCGACCACCGTTGGAAATTTATACAAAATACCACTTTTCTTGAAAATGACTTCACACATGGTGCCATAATTTTTACAGGATGCTTCAGACTGTCATTGACCAACATCCTAATAAGGTATTTCATAAAAAAATGGTAGTTTTGTTTTTGATGTTTGCAAATGTTGTTAATTCCCTTTAAGACTTTCACTGACTGACTGTCACATGTTCATGTACCGGTACATGTTAAATCTAAATGTATAGACTTAATATTGTGGCGGGACTGTTCCCGAACCAAGTTATTTCTCGGACTACACAGGCAGTCTAAAGGCTAAAGGATGCAGGCTCGTTTTGTATGGAAATCTACCGCCGCAGGAATTGATTCTTAGACCTTCTGTTAATTAGGCAATTACATTTGTACACATTAACAGGGACAACTGGCAACTGAATGGTCGGTAATCTCAAGTAACCATGATGATTTATTGCAGAGACAACAATTAAATGATTAAATGATTTGGGAGTAATTGTCTTTGGTATTTTTATTACAACCTGTGGTTTTCGAACGAGCCCTATCTGCAATACACAACCAATATCGCACTGCTCACTCCAATAAGCACTGCACAAACTAATGCTACATTACAGGAACGCTATAGCAATGCACAACCAATGCTGCAACCAATGCTGCAATACAGGAACACTACAGCAAGGCAATTTATTAAATGTTCACATTATTTTTAATTTTTTTAAACTTGTTTACATTTGGCAACAACTCTTCCTTTTGATTTAATTCGTTATACATTGTATATATATATGTAATATGTTTATAATTGGCAAATACAGCCTGTCTCCAAAAAAAATGGTACAATCAGAAAAAAAATTGGTTAAATATGAAATTTCAAAATAAGTCATTCTTACTTGGCATAATATTAAAGAACAAAGACTGGGCTTTCCAATAGTGTTTGTTTGATCTTATTTGCTTTTGTCAATTCAGAGATATAATCAATTTAGTGCGATACACCAGTGCAATTTTGTGGCACTTTTATGCATGGGCAGAGTTGTTTCGAGTACTGTGGCACAAACTCGATTTTTGTGTTCCGCAGTAAACTGGAGTTATCTCTGGATTGACAAAATCAAATGAGATGAAACAAAAAGTATTGGAAAGCCTGGTCGTTTTCGATTGTACCATTTTTTTTAAGACAGGCTGTATATCATGTAGTTTAGGTCAAAAAATAGTTCTGCTTCCGGTTTCCCTACCTACCCTATTCTGACAGCCCTTACCCTATTTTTTTTTTTTTATGGGCAAAATGAGGGGAAAAAACAAAACAAAAACCATCAATCCCAAAAAAAATCCAAAAAACATCAATCCCAAAAAAAATCCCTAACAACCTACCCTCTATTCAAATGCCATGTACCGGTAATTGAAAGCAGAACTACTTTTTGTTTAGCCTTAACAGTAAGCCTGTTTGATCATTTTCTTAATGTAGAAATGCAAATTTGTCTACTACATTTCGTAAATCTGGGTTTTGTGGCGATTTTCAATCTTCAATTTGTACACTACAGTAAAAAAAAATAATTTTATATATTTCAAGACAATTTGAAAATTAGTTCTATGTATTCGTATTAAAGGTGGATCCTGTAATCAGAATAAAAAGATACAAGTTCTATATTGGCATTCGTAAATGTTTTGAGATCGTAGATAAGTCAGCTCGTAATATGTAGAATGGATCTGATGGGAAGATGGTAATATACTTTGCTGCAAAAAAAACCACATTTTTTTATAATTGTATGTTTTGTATTATGCAAAGTAGAAGTGAACTGCCTATAATGTAGACAAGATCTTATCGGAAAATTGAATTTCCGAAACACGTTATCATGCAGCTGCATAAAATAAACATTTCATACTTTTATGATTAAAAGTCATACCGTTGAGCTTGTCATTATTGTACAATGGATTTTAGGGAATAATGTATTTTTCAACTATCATTTGGAAAAGCAAACACTTCAGAATTGTATGTTTTATAATCTAATAGTAATACATGACCCTTTTAAATTACGAGTTACTTGGTTACTATCTCCACTGGCTAACTGTCACTTGTGAAGTAGACTTCCTTAAGTCTTTCACTGACTGACTGTCACATGTACATATGGGTACACACCGGTAAATCGATCCGCCAAGCTCATGAATAAAAGTTATACCCTCAAAATATGCTATATTAGAGAGTTCTGAGCGCCGTCAAATTGTGGAATTGAAGAGATATGGTAGTGAACCTCTGGCCCGGACTTGGGGCTTCCAATTCTGAGCATTTTGGATGCTATTGGGCTCGAAAGTGGCGCTATTTTGCCATGTTGTGGAGGGATCGTTTTTCAAGATGGCTACTTTTCCGCTTTGGGGAAAATAGGGGTCGTCTTCTTTGCGTGAAAATATCTCGAAAAGTCAATGGTCAACCCACCATAAATTGAAAAGAAATTGAAAGATGACACATTGATCATCATTTTTCTGTGCAGCTTGAATACCTGTGAGAGTTTTGAGTATTTTTAAAAGAATTTTGAAGTACGGGCATTTAGCACTAGTGTCTATGGGAGTTTATTTGCAGGTATGCACCCATATGTTCATGTACATGTTAAATCTAAATGTATAGACTTAATATTGTGGCGGGACTGTTCCCGAACCAAGTTATTCCTCGGACTACACATTCAGTCTAAAGGCTAAAGGATGCAGGCTTGTTTTGTATGGAAATCTACCGCCGCAGGAATTGATTCTTAGACCTTCTGTTAATTAGGCAATTACATTTGTACACAATAACAAGGACAACTGGCAACTGAATGGTCGGTAATCTCAAGTAACCATGATGATTTATTGCAGAGACAACAATTAAATGATTTGGGAGTAATTGTCTTGGGTATCTTTATTACAACCCCTGGTTTTCGAACGAGCCCTATTTGCAATACACAACCAATATCGCACTGCTCACTCCAATAAGCACTGCACAAACTAATGCTACATTACAGGAACGCTATAGCAATGCACAACCAATGCTGCAATACAGGAACACTACAGCAAGGCACAACCAATGCTGCAATCCATGAACGCTATAGCAATGTACAGACCAATGCTGCAATACACGGACAATTAAATATCGCAATGCAACAACCGATGCTGCACTGCTTAAACAATATCGCATTGCATACATGTAGATCAGTGCCACTGTGGAGATATGGTTCGCGCGCACGTAGCAGTACTACGAAACCATGGGCCCAGCCCCAATCAACGACAATGCACCCGCAAGTGAATGGCTAAACTGTCCAACAGTTCACCCGCGTGTAGCATATAGCGCAAATCACCATATAGCAATACAACAGCGAGAGCACCCTTCAACTCATGTTAGTACAGCCATGGAGAAATGGTACAGCTCGCTGCCACTTGCCAGAACCTCCCGCGCGTACACGTGTGTAGCAATCTACCTACGCGCGCATACATAGCACATGCACTCAACATTATGCTGCACTAAACCTATGGGGCTTTGTTAACCAATCGCGTGCGTGCATACACGCACGCACTGATTGCTAAGCCACGCCCAGTCACGGGCGTACTATACTACAGTTCATTCATAAGATTAGAATACAACATGTACATGTACATGTACATAGAACTACACTTTCCATCACAATATGTACATGTACATAGAACTACACTTTCCATCACAATATCTCTCTTGTCAAAAGTAGCAGTAGCCCTGCCCCAGCATGTCAAATGACCAAACTAGGGTCAAAGGTCATCATGGGGTCACTGGGGTCAAAAACTTGATTTCTTTTACTCAAAGCACAAACTACCTCCAGAAATGTCATGGCATGATCACGAGACTAATGCATGAACACGA